TCCCTCAACCTAGAAAATGGAAAGTTTGAGTTCCTCAGCAGACATTCCTGAACATGAGCTCCTACGAGAAACCAAACCGCGGCAAACTGCAGCACGAGCAGGAACCTGACTTCTCGCGTGCTGCAAGTGCTGCAAGTACTGCAATGCCGACTGGGAATCCTGCAACAATTTCGCGGTACGGCTTCCTTGGATGGCAAGGGGTGCGAGCCATCTGCTGGAAAGTGAGGCGGTCTGATGGTTCCTGGGGACCGCAAGCAGCGACATCCCTGCTCACAGGCATTACTTGCCGGACGGGCATCTTCAGCTTCACCACCCGATCGCCCAGCACCGAATGGTACGGTCCATCCAGCACATCTTGCCGCCTCGGATGCATTGCAGGCAGAGGACCAGAGCAAAGGACAGGGCATTGCCGTGAACTGCGAAACTGATCTGCAGCTAGCATGGTTCCTAAGCATGAGCGAATCTAACAACAGCTCTTGCAAATGCTGATGTCAGTTTCGAACAGATGTGCCATATCGACAACAGCACATCAGCATCATCCAACGAATGAGGCTGGTGCAGGTCATCCGGATCAAACTCATTGGTGTCCTTGTGGCGTCTAACATTGGACTGACTGAGAAGGCTCAGCTTTCACATCCCTTAACATTAATGGTTATGGTGGATAGTTTAACCAAACAAGTTCTTCACAGAATCTTAGAAACATTAGAGAAGCCCCACCTAGGCCTCCTGTACCTAGTAAGACAACCTGGGCCTCCTATACCTAGTAAGACAGTCTCATGGCTAAAATCCATTAAAGCTTCTGCCCCCAAACTGCAAGGGTATTCGGAACTTCCCAAGTTTATGCGCTTCCATATTCGGGCAAACAACAGTGGCATGCTTTACAAAGATTCACTTTCCTGAGAGCTGCAGAGCGGAGCCTCTGTGACATGTGAACTCTGTGTGTGTATGTGTGTGTGCATCACGATGAACATGGCACCAGATGTTGACTTTTGGCCAATACCTTGGGCATTCATCGTGTGCGAGATGAGCGTTTCTTCGCAAGCTGCAGTCCGCAATCTTGTGTCACAAGATGGTGGTGGATTTAAGTCAATATTTTTTGGAAGGCGCCTTTGCCAGCCCCCGAAATGCAATACCAAATGCAACGGCTGGCCATGAAATAAGGGCAAACGCTGTGATCAAACAGCACTCGTGGTTACGGGTTGACTTTGGGGCCCGCTTAAGAAGCTCGAAAGAGTCCTACATGCTCTACACCTAAGCAATCCAAAGTCATCTTAAGCTACTGAAGTGCCACCGAGAGAACGACGACCCGACAAAGGCCGCCCACCACGCGACACACGAGCATCGCATAGCAGCCTGGCTCAAGCGCACTACATGGAGTTGTCTAAGTAGTCTCACAAAAAGCCAGCCAGCATATGGCTCGCTTTCCCTCGCTATGCTTTCGAGCTCCGTCGGGCAATGGTCGGTTCATATTCAAGCTATGGTATGTGGTGGCCAGCCTCATGGCCCACACAGCGGCTTCAATGCTGTGCGATCTGCTAAGGCAAGGGGAGCATTGCGAAACAGAATGAGGAGCGTGTGCGGTACCCCCCAAAACCCAAAACCGCCCCCTACACCGACCCAGAACTCGAGATCATGCTGAAATCGTCGCGCGCTGCGCGCCTTCGTCACTGGGCAGCCCGCCACGGATCTCCTCGTATGGGTTCGACGCCAGAAGCAAGGCCATATCCATTGCAACTTCTGCACGATGTGCGACTAAGGGAATAGACTTTGTTCAGATGGGATGTGGCAGTTGGGCATGCTTGAACCGAATCATGAGATGGCTGTTTTCAATGGTGGGTAGTAGAGGGGGGTAGCAGCAGCAGTCATTCGTAGCGACCGCGGCGCAATGATTAGTACAATGACAGTGAGACTTGAGCAGGACAACTGCCCTACAGCTCCTCCGCATACTCATCGGCCTTGGTGGAGCTTTCCTTAGCATCGGGTGGGCTGGAGGCATCTTAGCAATCTTTAACCTCAAGCGCTCACCCGAAATACACCATCAAGCGCAGGTGTAAACTCGTCGTCCCACAACTGGCTGAGCATCGGTAGGGCCTTGGGCCTTGGGCCTTGGGCTTCACAGCATCTTAGATGGTCAGGAGTTGCTCCCTCTAAGCTCAGAGGGTCAAGCGCCAAAACTAACAGCCACAGCTTTCTCACGGGTTCGGAGAGGGAGCTTCAGGCACAACTGCGGGTATGAGATGAACACTGCAAGTACACATCCGGTGCGGTCTGAGTTTCAACATTTCACAAGTTCAACGTCTGCAACCACAAGGAAGCCTGGTTCAAATTCTATCCAGCTCAGCCTCTGCACAATAAACTCCATAGCCGTAGAGCGGCCCTCAGCAGAAGCGTCTGCAACAAATCGTACTTGTTTCGGGGCCAAGGAAGGGAAGGACCCAGGGTTGGTCTCCTTTTCTGACGTAGGCGGAGATTTAGTTTTAGTCAGACAGCAGATTCTGCCATAGTGGCTCCGTGTCTCAAGACAGGGAGTCTCCAAATCCTGGACTCTTACGTGCCTTTACGTGTTTTGTTTCAAAGCCCTTACAAGTGAAACATCCACGTTACGACGAATGCGGACTTTGCTAGATTCGGCACTGCCACAAGCATTCTTCCCAACTAGTACCATTGCGGAATGCTTGAGCAAACGGAAAACCCAGACCCGCGACTCACGCAACGCACGAAAGTCGTGACAAGTGGCGCCCGCTGCTCTTGCCCGACTCCTTCCAGGTCGCCCCAGATCCAGCCAGTTTCCTTAGGAAGAATCCATACATGGAGGGTCTCTGGTGAGGGTCCTGGCAGGGGCCTGCCATGAAGCTTAGCCTTTGAAGTTGGCTTTCAAAGAAGCGGCTTTAGGGGGTCTTCATGCAGGCCAGAGGCAGCCGGAAGTTGGAGGCACAAATTCCTGTCTGGAGAATTTTTGAAGCCAATCACAGGAACTTAGGATTCCTGTCGCTTGTGCTGCCTGCAGCATTTGTTCCGAGGGCCTAGGGAGGGGGTGTGTATCACTTTGCAATTTGAAGTTTTTGGTACAGATCTCTGCGCAAAGAACCAAAGAACCCCCAACCGCAACCCTAGTGGCCCAAGCCCCGTGCGCCTTTACATGCCTGGAGGCTGGTACCGTGGAGCAGCCGCCACTCGTTCACCTCCCAGATGTTTTGAGAGGCTGAAAGGGTGTTCCCAAATCCCACAACCCATTTCACCGTGAACAGGAAATACAATCACATCCGAAGGCTAGGTTGAAGCTGATTGAAGCCACACCCCCCTGCAACTTTGGGACTTTAAGACTCTTGCGCTCGAGGCCCTGTTGTGGTTTAGGTTCCAGGGCTTCAGGGGCTTGAGAGCTTGTTCGGTGTAGACTTCGAAAGCAGAGCTCGGTTGACTGTGCTGTAGGGAACAGGCAACAACAACAGCATTCCTCTTTTTCAGAAGACCAAGGGTTTTGTGAATGTGCTTAAAGTGTCAGGTGTATCATCAAAAACATCTGCTGCTCCTTGGATGGTTCGGGGTCTGGGCGCAGGTATCAGTACAGGATGTTCGGAGGTGGGTTCGTGACAACCCTGGCCTGAGGGTTGGGCAGGGTTTTGGGTTGAGGGGCCCTCAACCGGGGTGCGACGGTTAAAGATCTTCAGACTTCACCCCCTTGTGCCTGGGGTTAAAGGTTGAAGGCTTGCTCTTCGTAAGCTTCATGGTTTCGCATGTCCTAGTAAGGTTAGGGATTTTGGAGGAGCTGTCCTTTGCGGGTTGAGGCGCACGAAGGCTAAAAGGACACAGATACCGTAAAGACTTTTCGCGTTCTTGTGACGGCCAGCGTGTCTTTAGGGTTCGTATTTTAGGGTTCAGACATCCGCATGACGCTGACCCAAGCACTGGTCGCGGCCTCTGGTTCCAGACGTTCTTCGTGTGGAATGTCCTTGACCCAGATCGGCTGGGGGGTGTTTGATGTGGGGGGCTTGTCAGCTGGAACTTCCAAACTTTCAGCTTACCCAATGAGTAAAAATGAAGGTTTCGGAGTGTAGGGCTTCTGTACCTTGCATGGTTCAGATCTAAGATCACCGCGTGCAGTCAAAACTGGTGACGGGCCCACTCACACTTCCACCTCGACACGGCCACAAAACACTTCATAGAAAACCTCTGGAGCACTGCAATGTCACACCCCCCCGCAAATATGAGCCCCGCCATCCCTCTCAGCGCAACTACTGCTCGACCGCCATGTGCCTTCTTTTGAACTTTGGTCTCTGCAACGAAAGTGAAAAATTTATTCTTAAGACTGAAGCCGACTCAAGCCAACACCTGCTGACAGAAGAACTTCCTGCCAACACCCTCAAGCCCTCAGGGCTTCTTCGAAGGCAGCCAGGCAGCAAAGACGCTGTTGGGAGTGACGGTGGCAAAAGGGACGCTGCTGGTCTGCGTCTCCTGGAGCTGTTTCCCTTTTGCTGCATCACCTTGTTGAACTGCAAACCTTCTGACTTTCTGCAGAGCTTCTTTCAAGTCCTATCTGGGTCGATGAGGCCGTGGCTCCCTTCATGTCTTATGGCTCCCGAATGGTTGGGCGGGGGCATTCGAACCGTTGGGCTTGCCACCATGGCTCCCCTTCATCGCTCCATTCGCCTAAACCCCAAAACCTAAACCCAAAATCCTAAACCCTAAGCCCTAAATCCTAAACCCTGAACCCGTTGACTTGTTGCAGCGGTGTAGCATGCCATCCTAGGCTTCAGCACTGTTCTCATGATGTTCCCCTGCCATGGACGTTTTTGGGAGCTCAGGTGAAGAGCATTTACAGGCTAAACTCCGACACACTCAAGCAACTTCAGCTATGAGGTGTCGGATTCTGGTACCAAAGCTTCGGCTTTCGAACCCTTGGTCGTCTGATGTTCCCTGGCTCGTGCGGTCCTGCTTGATGGCACCTCTCGTTGTGGCGTAGGTGTGCCACAGGGATGGATTTCGGTTCCTCTCCTGAGCTCAGGGCTTTGGGTTGCAGGCTTTTGGGAAGCATCAAGGGGCTGGGTATTTCGAGTTTCGGGGTTGCCCTTCCCTCCCTCTCCCCCTCCCTCAGCTGCCGAGCTGCAGCACGGATGAGCTGATAGCCCGTGGGCACAGGCGCACGGTGCCGGAAGAGGCATGATGCCTTGCGTTGTGATTTCGTGTTGCTTGCTATTAGGCCTTGGAGCTTTGCGGCTCAATGGCGGGAGATTTGCGGTGGACTTTCGGGGCTGAACGGGCTTGAGGGTCAGCTTGGGCGTGTGCGCCTCAGTGTCCTTTGTCGCAGCCGAAGGGCCCCCGAACCGTTGTATCAGGTTGTACCGGTCCGAAACTTCAAAACCTAAACCTAACAGTTCCAAAGCTGCATTTTGACTGTAAATACCAAGTGCTTTGGGCATGCTCATGAAAGGCATGGACGCTTGTGACAGCATGTCTTGTTTCGGAGACGTCAAACATCCTTTATCATTCTTTAGAGAGAAGCAAACAAGACGCAGTTAATACCAGTGTTTTCGGCATGGTCACCCATATGAACGGATATTAATATCCTAGCAAATGAACGACAAACAAGCACCACAAGGAAACCACCAAGGAGATAAAACGCGCTCAGCAACTACACAAACAACCCAGGGACTCTTCATCTCACAGTCCGCCGTAACCTTCTACCGATGGGGGGTTTGGGGTTTTGGGGCTTTGGGGCTTTGGGCTAGCCTTGAAGCAACAAAGCTCTAGAGTCGGGGAGAGAGACAAAGAGAGAGAGAGAGAGAGAGAAGGCTGAAAACGAGCCTGCAGGCCCTCGACAACTACAAGCCTGTTGCGGCTGCAAAAGCCTGTCTTCATGTCAAGGATTCAAGACTTCGAGTGTTGGGTTTCTGCACCCGATCTCCCACCTCACAGCTGTGGCGTCCATGGAGTGCGCAGCCGCGATCGCGAGTCCAGTTGTCGTGATCCTTCCGCGAAATTTTAGGATTTGGAGCCTGGGGTCGAGGAATTGTTGGGGGTTACAACTCTAAGAGTGCTCTCATATTTCATTTGGCCAGGCCAGCCTGTCCAAAGTATGAAGCACACGGCAAGCCAGGAAATACATCTACGTGTGAGACAAGTGAGCTCATGATGAAGGCAAACCCACGCCTCAGGACTTGACATTGCTGCGTGGGGATAGAGTCATACGAAGCTGACGATGCTTCATGTAGTAGAAGGCAAGGTATGAAACAAAAGCAAGATTGAGTGCATGGGTCGGATGTCTGAGGGAATGCAGAAGATGGGTGCGCGAAGTGAGAGAAACACAGTAACATTGTGCGCTAGACCTACGAAGCTGATGCTCAGGATGATTTTGCGTTGCTTTTTCACATCCCGAAATACTTACTATGGATCCTGCCCAGGTTTCAGAAGTCCATAGTGCGGTGCACTCTCCAAGACTAACACATTCATGTGCTTTGGGTTGGTTTACCATCCCTGGCAGGATTCTGAGTGCCATCCGGCGGTACTGGGCTGCATTGTGCTCGGATCTTGACCCCATATGGCTCCATACTCGGCAGATCACCTGTTCATCTTGAGCCCTGCGCTTTCAACCGCAAGAGTGTGATAAGCTTGCGACTACGTCAGTTTCCACTGAATATTCTGCAGGGTTGACAGTACAGAATGGCAAGAACATCGGCTAATGAATGCTGAACTGAAGTGTTGATATTCCTCGAATCCCCAGAGCCCCAAACCCCTGAAACAGCTCCTTGTGGGTCGCTGTCAGCAACGTCTGAAGCGCCGTCAGGACCTCCTGGCATCGTTCCGTACGAAAACAGCTAAAACCAACATGCTCGGACGACTAGGTTTTCAAATGTGTTCACATGTTTTTGAAGCAAGTCCTCTTTAAACCCGAAAATGAACTCTGCAACTGAAGAACTGATCTGAATTTTATGTTCAATACTGGCGTTTGTGATATTGTTTGTTTGCTGTAGAAAGCGACTTTCCAGTGCTTGAAAAGGTGCTTCGCGTTTTGTGGGTTTGGACACCTTCAATTGTTCTATCGGAAAGCTTTGCTTGAGCACAAGTTCGCGCGGCTTTCAACCCCCCCCCATCTTCCCCGCGTTTGTAAACACCGTGGTCGTGCATGTCCCGTTCCTCCTAAGACATGCTCGCATGGTGGGTTTGGTAGGGGACGCACCCATTTGCAAACACAAGCTTGCAAGACTTTTGGCAAAACTAGGGGTTCACATTGTCTTTCAAAGGGACTCTTCCTGATGGCACGATGTGCTTTAAAGCAAGCTTCTGCTGCATCCTTTGCAAACACACTGCTTGTATAATGGCTTTAGGGCCGGATTCGAATGGGTTTTGAAGGAATCCGGGGTGGCCCAAAAAAGGGAAGCAAAAACCAAGGGCGCAAAACATGCATCCGTAACACCCAACCACGAAAACCCCGATCAAGTCAGGCTCAAGGCGGCCGGATCTGTGACGAAGGTGACGCCGGGCCTCTGCTTGGAGCCGTATGTTGGAAAGCTGCGAAGACGCTTGAGGTCCACTAGTTCATGCGTCATCTGGATTGATCATTCCTCCACTGCCTTCTCCCTTACAGCAATGGCATCCGGCTGTGTGTTCACACTCCACACAGTGGAAAACGCCGGCCAGCTTAAGTTTCTCAGAAACCTGAGCCAGCACCAAGCGGGAAAACTCCAAAAGGTTTGGTGGCCTGGCGTTGAGCACTTTTCTGGGCTAATTTTCTTCGGGAGGAGGAGGAAGTCGCAGAGGCCTTTACTACGAGTAGGGTTTAGGTGTTACCTTAAAAGATCCAGGGGTGAGGTCGCAGGCCAACAGTGCCAGCGTGAGCCCACCAAGGCCGGCTAGTTGGTGCAAGGACGTGCAAGTTGATTGGAGGTTAAACTTCGGCCGGACTTGGTTCGGCGGCCTGAAACGGCACCGGGGATGAGGTGGCAAAAGGGTTGTCTACAACGGTGCCTTACATAAGATTTCTCCTGAGCACAGGATCTTTCCAGCCTCTAACCATCCTAAGGACGGGAACCTTGAAGGTTAAACAATCCTATAACTCTGAAAACTAAACCCGTCCCAGCCCCAAAATGCTTTCCAACTGATACCCTTCGAGGCTGTGGCTTCCTGGCCGGCGCGAAGAGCGAGGTCCTGGGCCGTTCGTCTCTTAGAGTTTTCGGTGGCCAGTGTGAAGTCGTCTTGACGTCCACTCTAAGTTCTAGAGAATTGACACCGACTCGGGTTTGGGTAGTTCGGATTTGGAGATACTGGCAGCTCTACAAGAGAATTGTGAGTGAGGCTCCCTTTCTTCTCTCTTCACATGAACAGGCTCAGGGGCTTGGAGGCACCGCGACCCAGCGCTCGGCGCTTGAGCTTGTTCAAGACCTGGCGCGTTGGGTGGACATCCAGTGCGGGTAAAACAGTCTTCTCGGTGGCGGGATTCCGGTACCTTATTGGGGTCCTTCTTATAGCGGGATCCTACTATTTGGGCGTCTATTTTAAGTGGCCTATGATCGTAACACCCTCCAGGTGGCGCTCGGGATTCTGGTGCAGATGGCCGCTTTTGCAACCCCCAGAGCCCTCCTCTAACAGCAGCCTCCTGCTCTTCACGGGTCATCAGGGCAACGTCAGAGAGGTGGGCGGAGCTCCTTTGGATGCCACAGTTTTGGGGTTCCTCCCGAAAGCGTAGATCATCGTGGATCCAGAAATTGTCAGGGTTTCTTCGTTTTCTGCCTCTTGCCTGGGGGGGGGGGCCTACTTCGCGGCCAGTTGCCAGGTTAAGGCTTCATGAGGAGTATGGCATAACCGTTAAGGCTTAATGAGGAGTATGGCCTAACCAACAAAGTGCTGCTCGAAAGCCAAGTTGTGACAACGGCCGTGGCCCACCGAGTTCGGGGGGATGGCTGCGATGTGCGGTTCTGGCTGACAGTTGGCGCATTACTCGTGGGGTTGGGCCACTGTGGGGACTTTGGACATCTGTGGGCCCATGGAAGTCGAGGTTCTCCGCAGGCCCCTATGACCACTGCGGACAACAGGACTCAAAGAGCCCCGGCCAACCCCGAAACACCAAAAACAAAACACCCAAAGTCCCCAAGCCTCAGTGGATCCTCAGTCCGATCGCCGAGGCACTTGTGGCCGCACTCACACATCGTCGCGTTCACAGAACTGGCCTGGTCGATGGCGTTTTTCGAAGGGTCTGAATTCGTACAGGACACAACCACCCCCGAAAAACCTGAGCCCTGAGGCTTCAAGGATTACCTAGTTTCAAGTTCCAAACACTACAGCCGAACCAGTCCTTCCTGTGTTTTGGACGTGGCAATCCCCAAGCCACGCGTGACATTGTTGCCTTAGTCCCAAAGCCGCCCAAACCCTAGCGGACAACCGGAAGTCAACTCCCTCCAGAGCCTTGAAGTTCACGCAAGGGCAGCGGTCTTTGTACTGAAAGCGGCAGGGCCGATCCTGAGGCTTGGTGAGAGAGCAAGCATCAACTCTTGCCGTATGAGCGCGTTGTCAAGTTCGAAGCTCTTTCTTGAAAGCTTGACTCGTACCGTGCTACCACACAGGCATACTCACAGCCAAGGTGCCGCAGAAGCATCAGAGGGATCCACGCCCACGGGCAGCTGAATCTTTACATCCTCAGCATCCGATCACAAAGCCAAGGTTTTCTGCATTTGATGGTCTGATGGTCTTATCATCCTAGAATCCTAGTGGCCACAGGCCCAACATCTTTGACATCTCCGCCAAAAGGAGGGGGTTCCCCCTTTCCGACAGCTTCCTTCATGGCATGGGAGAAGTTTGAGCCCTGCAATCCACACGAACCCAGCGAAAACCCAAAGGGAGGCCAAAGTGGCTGCTGCCCACTTTGCAAACTGGGCGAAAGTGAGGTGGCTTCGCTCGTCGCCAGCCGCCGCCTCCCAGGCCTGTTTGGGTTTGGGGGGCCGTCCCCTCAAGATACCTCCTATAGTTACTAGGCATAAAGGTTCGAAGGGCGGGGCTACGAGGCATCGTAAGGGCTGAAGGGAACGGTTTCTTTCAACACAGTGCTTTCAATGTCCTGCAGTTCACAAGGGATGAGGCAACATATCCTGAGTGCCTTTGAATGCGCTCCTCTATGCCACAGAAAGATGCAACGATGTGCATCGATGCCTCCGCATAGCTGCCCGACAGCGCAGGGCCCTGATCAGGATTTACAACATGTGAGCAGTGATCTACCGCATTTATGCCGCATCCGGGGATTTGGGATGTGACGAAGCAAAACTGGACACCCAGGCCCCCTTCTTCTACCTCAATCGTGGGATCTGGCGGTTGATGTGGTGTGAGTGCTTGGCTCTTGCTTTGTCGCTCAGGCTTTGCGCTTCTTCGCGAGGTGCCTCGTCCGACCGCCACTTTGGCACACGACCGTTCCGAGAGGCCAAGTCCCAGTGGCCAAGTTGTGTTTTGTGCACAGGCATCAGCGTCCCAGAGGGCGCAGTCGGTGCGCCCAGCCGGGACACTTGTTTAAGATCATCACAAGCGCATCAGATGGGACAAGGTTCGAGACGATCTGGGGTTGAGGGACCAATGGGGCCCTCAAGGATCTTGAGACTTCGGGGGGTGGACTACGTGCCTCCCCGACCCGATGTTTAGAGGCGATGCTGGCATGATCAGACTTCCTGTCATCTTTCGTTACCGGCACACATCCGTCATCGACCTGCAGGCCGCCAGTCTAAAACCCCAAGCCTCCAGGGAGAGTAAAAGCCTTTTGCGGGCCTCCATGCCGAAGACCCCTGGGGGCAGGTCGACAAGCAGCTCCCAGGCGTCCTGATGGCTCAAAGGCACCGTGGGTTTCCTCATGAATCCCTCTTCCCTCAACCCCGCAACTGTTGGGGCTTCGAGTTGCAAGGGTAAAGGAGATGCGACTGAAAGGACACATGACAAGCTGGTTTCTACGGCTTCAGGTTCGGCGCTCAAAGGGTAACTTGGGGGGAGGTCAGGGTCCTGAAACTCCTCCTTGGAAATGTTCCCAGACTCATCCGGGTCGCAAAAGTTGAAAAGGTCCCGCCTTCGTGGGGCCAGATCATGCTTTAAACGGCTCTATGGAGGTGCCGGGAGAGCGACACAGGCCCATCTTTGTTAGGAAGAGCCACGCAAACAGTAAAGAGCCTCTCAGACCCAAGGACCTCGCTTTGATGTGCATGCTAGCAGGTCCGCGTCGTCCCCTCTGGGCGAGGCGATGTGTCCCAAAAGGCTGACGCAGTGGGCATTGATGCTGGCAGTCATGTGAGAAAAGCAAGACTTTAGGATGCATGGAAGGGGTGTGACTTGCGCTGCAAGGATGTTCAGTGTCTAGTTGCCTCGATCTCAAGGTTGACAATAAGCACCAACGACCGGCAGCAGGTCGAGACCATGTCTGACCGTCAACATTCCAGCATTCCAGGGGAAAAGATGGTGCCCTGACGACACGTATGCTGAGTCAAACTGGGCACTAAATTTGGCAAGAGCAAACTAATGATGGAATCAGATTGGTTCTTTTTTGGTGGGCCGGGGCGGGGGGCGGGGGGGGGGGAATGGGACGTATGACATGTTAAAGGATTGAGGTCGGTGACTCCAAGCTTACGGTCCAACTCAAAACCTCCTCAACGTTCTCACTCTATCGACTCCATTGCACTAGGCCCTGAACTTCAGCGCTCACCAGCCAAGTGACAAAGTGGGGAACTCCTTTTGGACCTGCACCTCACAGGTCCGGAGTGTGGTGCAGAGCTGAGTGTGGAGCTAGTTCTCTGATGACGTTTGTTTTTCTTTGCCAGTCTAAGATAGGAAAGTTGCACATTTGCAAATTTAAACGTGTTTCTTACACCGTGTGCGGCCAGAGAACTCCCTTCCGGGTGGGGAAGTGCACGAGGCCAATCCGGTAGTGCCGGTCACCCGGGTGCCTCTGCCGGACTTATGCGCCCGGGAGGTGCACAGGAGAGAACAGGATCACACAACATGGTACATACTTATACATGCACACACACACACACACATATATATAATATAAAATGAAAGATAAATAAAATATAAATATCTGCTACCACATAGATCTTTGCGAGGTGACAGACAGTTTTCAGCGGATTCGCTTGACTCTGACTGGGGCCCGCGCACGAAATGCTTGAGGTGGGCGAGGTTCTTTTGGTAGCACTTGCTGCCTTAGAGCTGCGCGGTGTCCAGGCATTGATCTGGTAAAAAACTGCCTGGCTTGATGCATGCGCGATGTGGTCGTCTCGGTGTCTCCTGTCCTCTCTCTCGTCTGGGCTCCAGACCATACTGGCAAGCCAGCAGAACATTCTCGGGGTGATAGAACCTGCTGGAGTCGAGCAGCACTGGCTTAAGGTTTCAGGCCTTGTGACGATTGTGACCAGGCGGGGCTATGGGTCTTCCGAACCCACGTGGAAGGCTCCTGTCTAGTCTTTCCCTAAAGCACTTGGGGGAACCTCAGCTTCTCCCCTCTGCAGAAGCGGCCTGCGGCGATGCTCCTCGGTGAAATCCTTAGACGATCTGTGGCTGTCTAAAACAAACACCTGCCACTCATTTTATACAGTTCTGGGAGCTTGGAAGACCTCACACTGTAAAGTGTAAACCCCATACACCTTGAAGTTTGGGACTATGGGAGCTCTTGCGGGGACCCCAAGCCGTCCTCTGACCCCAACGACCTCCGAAGCATCCAGGACCCTCGAAGAACGCAGACTCCCCCCACTGGTCGCCTGTTCCAACAGGCTTGTTACGACTCCCTCATGTTTGCCAGGCAAGTCCCGACGATGCTCACAGGGCTGCGTATTTTCAGGCACTGGGAATCATGCTCCGAAGCCAGATGCGGGGGTGGTGTAGCTTTTTTTGGGTTGTTTTGGGAAAAAAGCCGGGATTGGGCCTCAAAACGGAAGATGCTTGGTGGGTTTCAGTGGAAATTATCCACTTTCAGGAACCATGAAGAGAATTCACGTCCTTTGCCTCATTCGTCTCACCCAGTCATTACATTATCATTGTGTGTAGAGTGTAGAGAGAGAATGAACGGAGAGAATGGACGAAACACGCCTTTCTTTAATGTGAAGAGTTAAGGCGTGCTTCGTTCATTCTCTCTGTTCATTCTCGACACACAAGAATAGTGGTAATGAATGAGTGAAACGAATGAGGGGAAAGTACTAATTTATCATCCGAGGCTGTGCTCTCGGTGAACGGCATCGCGCCCGCCCCCCCCCCTAGAGTCGGCATCCCCATGCTGATCCCTATGCTGCAAGGCTGAGACTTCGAACACCGGCTGTCGTGTCTCTCAACTCACCCTCAATCCTCAATCCATGAAAGCTGCGAAGCATCCGCTTCCTGAACCGGGTTGAAGGTGGCTAAGAAATCTGGTCACCGGGGCACAGTGCACTCCACACCGCGGTGGCAAGACGGGGTGGATCGCGTGGGAGGTGCGCCCGTGTGACCTGAGTTTGGAGAGACTGTGCGGGATCCAGAGCTTAAAAGGTGTGTCAGGTATTCTAGGACACAATTGCAATAGTGCCGAGCACAGCTGCGGATGCACTTTGCCAGGCCTGCAAACGGTTTACAAATGGCCTTGATGCCCTGCGCCAAAAGTTTCAAGACTTCACAGCTGTGCTGAGTCACTCGATGCACTGGCTCGCCTGAAAGAATCGGCGGGCGCGTAGCCACCACCTCAGCTTGGCACGGGTGGCTGTTCAGGTCGAATAGTTGTCTGACTTTTTGTCATTCCGCAATTCCCCACCCCGTTCAAAGGGACCCATGTAAGCGGGCAGGGTGTCAGCTGCTCGGTGTTCGGCTTTTGCTGCGCGAAGGTGTGGGTTTCTTTTGGCCGGCTCAAGGTCAAGTGCCAAACAGTGGCAAAGTCAACATTAAAAGACTGGAGAAGAACCCATATAACTATTCTTCACATGAAGACCGGTAGCGTGTGAGTTGCGCGTGCGCGTGCGTGGGTGCGTGGGTGCGTGTGCGTGTGCGCGTGCGCGTGCGCGTCACGTGCGCGTCGCGTGCGCGTGTGCGTGTGCGTGTGCGTCTGCGTGTGCGTGTGCGCGTGGGTGTGTGTGGTTTGTGTGTGTGTGTGTGTGGTGGGTGTGGGTGTGTGTGTGTGTGTGTGTGTGTGTGTGTGTGTGCGTGTGTGGGTGGTGTGTGTGGGGCGCCCCGCTCGGCGTCGGTGGCAGCTCAATTTAAACAAAGGCCCCTCACGAAGTTGTGGGGAACAATGTCCTGCACGCTTTCTGAGCCTTACCTTCCGAACATCGCACCCAGAATGCGGAGAAAGGCTTACCAAGTTCCCGCAACAAAACTTACCCCTTACCGAACCCACGATGAACTCTCTCGTAGAGCCGTGTCCCAGGTACTGCTTGGGGCAGAGGCTGGGACGGAGGCCTCGGCATCCGTGCAAGACTGTTTGAGAGCTGTTGGGGGGACAGCCCTTCTCTTGGTTGAACATGTTTTAGGGGGTTAAGCCGGTTTGCGATGGCTTGCGAGAATTTCAGGGGCCACAAGCCGAGAATGATTTTGTTTTCGGCGGCTTCGGGGTTCTCCGTCCTCGGGTTAGAAGGGTATCCTAGATCCTGCTGAAGATCGGGATAAAAACGGCATAGGGGCACCCTTCTGAAGAGCAGAATGAAGCTCAAGCACGCAAACCCTGAGCTGAGGGTGACCCTCAAGTCCCGCTCGCCGAAGCTCAAGGTCCCAGTAGATTGTCAAGAAAGAGGAAGCCCAGACGTCCAAAAGCGAGGATAGTTTCGCATGTCGCGAGCCCAGAAATCCAAAAGCGATGACAGCTTCAGGACGGCGAGGACAGCGAGCACAATCGCACCCACGCCTCGGGCGAGAGCGCGATTTTCGTCCAAAATGCGAGCAGGCTTCGAGAAAAACCCATTGTCCGCAGCCTTGGGCGTGGCGCGTGGTGACAGCGACCTAGCCCTTCTTACTCTTCACCTTGGAAGCCCGTACTGTTGACACACAAACCAACGAAAGAATCCCCAAATTTCTTTGTTGAAAATACATCGTGTAGACACAGAAACCTTGAGTGCTGAAACATGAAATCCCTAATCCCCCCATAGGCCCCTGTGACGGACAAGGCACGTGGCTGGGGACCGCATGGCCGGGCACCACGTGGCCAGGGACCACATGGCCCGGGACGAAGTGTCCAGGCGCAGTGTCGTAAGCCCCAAACCTTGGGACTGAGGACTTAGAAGGCTGAAGGCAACAAAAAGACCACATCTGGCAAGGGAATTAGCTGCCCAGCCTTCAGATTCTCCAAGATCCCAAGCTTGAGCAGCACGCGCCGCTTAAACCGGCTCAATCCAGACAGGTTCTGCCCCGTAAGTTCTGCACGCTCAATGGTGAACTCCATGAAACGTGTGGGCTTGGACACGCCGAGTTGCGGAGGCTGACCCGCAGGGTGTGTGTAATAACCTGGGTCTCTGGGACGTTTACAACAGTTGCAGGAGTTTAAGGGCATGAGGTCGTTATTTAGGGCCTCGAGCGCTAAACTTGTCAGAAGCCAAGCCAACGGATAGGTCAAGAACTGGGGAGACATGCTCAGCCGCAGCAGCGAATACTGAGTTCAGCCATCCTTCAAACATGGGGCAGGCGGGCCGAGGCACGCGGAGTCTTTTGAGCCCATTTGTGTCCAAGTCGACCCAACCACACAAATACTTCCCAAGTCTATCCGCCCAGCTCTACCCTCTCCTCTAAAGCTGCAAACCCTCCTCGACCCATCGAACTACACCGCCCCCCACCCTCCCCCTCCCCCTTCCCCCTTCCCCCCCCCGGCGACGTCGCTTCATCGGTTGAGACAGGATGCCGGCTGGAGGATGCCCATACCTGCATGGCTCCGGTTAGCAAGCTGAGGTTCATTGAAAGGGGCGGGTCTTAAGGTAAGACCGTGGGGCCTGCGGCGTTAAAATTTGTGTGTTGTTTGCGGTTGAACGGGTTGCCGGGTTTAGTCTAGGGTTGCCATTGGACCTGCTTATGTATCAGGGTTTGGGTGTAGAGGTCCTTCACAGTCACTGGTTTCAAGTACTTGTTGTCTTAAATATTGTTGTCGTGATATACAGCTGCTGCTTTATGCCGTTACTGCTATTGACGTTCGTTAAGGGGATTTACGGCTTCTTGATCTGTTTCAGGGTATTGCAGGAAAAACCCACCAATGACTTTGCAACGTTAAACAAAAAGGCTTCGGCGCTCTTTGGTGTTCTGGCTTGCTGGGTTACTTTCTTGGCACTGGCCCAAAACTGGAAGAGGGTTTTTGAGGGCTTGGGGTTGAAGGCCACATGAAATTTGGAGCTTGCGTACGCCCGAGCTTTCGGGAGCCCAGCTTCTTTAGCATCTTTGATGAGGATTCTCGTGAACCGTGCGAGCCCTCACAGGTATTTTTCATCATTGAGAGGGCCGGGGCACACAGGACGAAAGGGCGGCCGTTCATCTTTGCCGCACGGAGCGCCCATGGCAGCAAGGATGGACGTTGGTGTTGCCAGCTGATCGGGGAGTTCGTCTTGCACTCCTTTGGTAAGGTAGGCCTTCTGGACATCAGGAAGGTCACGGGTTTGCGGCTTTGTTGTGGGTAGGATGCGCAGTAGGGTGATATCGTGGGATGGAGAATCTTCAAAACAGTGCTCCCCTTCCTGATGCCTTCAATCCAAAAGTCGAGAAGTGGTCGGGCTGCTTGCTGAAATGTTTGTGCATCTGAGCACCAGATGTAAGAATATCCAAACACGGGCCCTTTTGCGCTCGAATCCCTCCACGGCCCCAAAAATGCACAAGACTAGCTGGATCCCACCCGGTGTGCATAAGCAATGTCCGAGGCTGCACTTTGAGTTCCGGGCATCATCTGCTGCATCTGCTGCATGTTAGGCATCTGTCCCATGTTGGGCATTTGTGCCATGTTGGGCATCTGCGCCATGTTGGGCATCTGCGCCATGTTCGGCATTTGGCCCATGCTTGGCATCTGCGGCAAAGTAGGCGCCTGCCGTGCATGTGCCACTCGAACATTCAAAATTAGCAGGACGGCAACATGAACATGTGACTCGCTGCACCGGGACTCTCTGAGCAAGGGCAAGTGGGACGCGAGGCGAAGCAGGAGGGCCCTACTTCTAACACCACCAAAGTAGAAACACTTCCGGAGTTAGCAGGCCTGTGCGGCTGCTGCCGGTGGAGGGGCCTCTTTGGGCGCCGGTGTTTTGGCCTCGCAGGTGGGGTTTTTAGAGGGTCCACGGTCGTGGAGGCTGCTCTTGGATCATGGCACCAAGAAAGAGGTGCTTTCGAGCTACGGGCCAGCTTGGCCAGAAAATGGCCAAGAGGAGCAACATGACCCCGTCCTAAACCCCAAAGAAAGGGAATCCGAAACTGCGAAACCCCGAAAGCTTTCGATGAAAGCTGCACCTCCGTGATAGTGAGGTGTGTGAGTGTGAGTGGTGTGAGGCCTTAGGGATGTTTAGGGCTTAGGGATGCTTAGGGCTTGGGGATGCCTAGAGCTTGGGGTTCTCGGATGGCACAAAACGTGCTCTCTTCCAGCAGTCCTGCTGTTCTGCGGAAACAAGGGGGTGGGGCGCCACCTAAAACCCGCAGTTCCGTGTGACGCCTCGCCAGGGACGAACCGCTTCTTGAAGAAGCGGTGGCCGCCGGGATGGATCTGCCGGTCGGGGTAATAGTGGGGTTTTGGTGCCAGCAACATGCAGGCCCTTCTGATTCTTTGACCTCATCTATTTTCCTGGCTGGATGGAGCTACAGGTGAAGGCATTGAAGGTTTAAATCTTCGCCTGGGTCGATACTCGCAGCATGATCAGGAAAGAGCAGCTTAGAGATCTTTCTGTCGTGGAGTTTCATCTTCAAGGAAGCCATCCTCCCGAACTCTCTCACACTTGTCTCAGACACAGCACGATGCGACAGGCCTGCGCCTTTCGCTCGTAGCAGTCCTCGCCTGGACTCTTGTGGAGCTTGGGTCTTTAGGAGTCAGAGCCGAGGGCGACAGCTTGTAAGCCTTGCGAGGTGTCTCAATGTTGAAATGCTCTCGACAAGCCTGCAAGCTAGAGCTGCAATGAACCAATACCCTATGCACATACACAACAGGAAACAAGCGGTCCCACTTAGTGCTTTCCGGAGGGCTCACGTTTGAAGCTGCTGCGTGTGAAGGAAGTTGGTGCGAAATTTTGCACATTCCCTCCGTGACCTGCAATGCCTGTCGCGACCTCTAGCAGAAGCCACGAAGGCATGTACTACGAACGCACCACAGAGGCTGTCGTAGTCCCACTGAGCTCTGCACAAAGGTCGAAGGAATCGCAGGTCTGACCTGGAAGGGCTGTGCAGATGCGCAGAAAGCTTCAAGGCACCTCCTCGAAAGAGCGTGCGGCATACAGACACTCGTGGCGGAGGACGAAACCCAGCGCATTGCATCCTAAACCCTAAACCCTAAACTCCGAACCTCTTAAGTTGGCCCAGGCCAAAGATGTGCAGACCCCAGCAAAACCAGCAAAAACAAAACCCAGGCATCCCGCACTTGAAGCGATCGCCACGGATGGGACTCATGTGGCACCTGAGTCTCACTGGCGCAACAGGCAGATTGAATAATTTTCTCGGTGCTTGCAATGTGTAGCAAAAGGGGAACTGTAATGGAACAGTACTCTTCATGATCGAGGTTCTTCTGCTCTTGTCGTAAGAAAACTGCAAAAACCGGCAGAAGCCTAGCTTTCGATGCCTGTTAGGGCCGGAACGACGGACCGTTGTCTAGCATATGCTCGATCTGGGGGAGTTCCGGTTAACCGCGTAATCTGCCGTTTGGCCCCGCGAGTTACCACATGTCCGCAGGGTTGGGAAGTCTCATCCTCAGGCCCAGGACCCTGCATCCTGAAACCGGCTCTGTTCTTAGACTGCTGCGCTTCACCAAGGGGCACGCGCCTTAAACCCTGACGCCTCCCCCTCGAATCCCCCAATGCTCCTCCAAGGAGCCCGGAGCAGGTGATGCCCGTGTGGACTTCGTCCTCGTCCTTCGAGCTTTTGGGCTTCAGAGTGACCCACAAAATGACCATAAAGGAAAACAAAACGACCATATGTGAGAGAAGGCCTTTTGCAGTCGTGAGCTTGCAGCGCAGATTTCCACAGGGGGCGATTCGTAGACTCCTCTGCACCCTTTCAGGGCCTTTGAGGCCTTCAAACTCCAAGAGCCGAAGCCCGTAGAACTTCACCCAACACCCCTTCAGCCCCAGCAAGACATGAGCCTTCTGAAGGCAATACTCGGGCTCGCTAGGACTTCAGGAATCCCACAGCAGAAAAACTCCGAACTCCCCGAAGCAGCGAAGTGTCGCAGATGTCAGCAGGCTTCATTTTGAAGCCGTCAAGCCCGAGATCGGCTCTGAAGAAACATTCCTAGGAAGTGCAGCCCGGCACTTCTGCAAAGTACAGCAACGGGCGCCCCGCGGACCCCCACGCGGCCATCATCGAGGATCGGAACACAAATATGTGTAATATATATATATATATGTATGTATGTATATATATATATATATGTTCGGTAGCCACACCCCCCGCCGGAACGTATGAAAACAAGCAGAAATCCAAACACAAGTTAGGTACCAGGGGGGGGGGCCCAAGTTAAGAAAAAACGCAACAAATGTAAAACAGACACGCTCACACATCAGGTGTGTTTATACATATATATATATATATATCTATCTATCTATTTATCTCTCTCTCTCTCTCTCTCTCTCTGAGCGCTGAGCCTGGCCTGGGGCGGTGCAATCCTTGCCCCGCTCGCGTCGTTGCCCCTGGGAGTATCTGGATTTCCATTGGGGGTTTGCCTTCGCCAGCGCCCCCCGGGTTTCTGAAACCACGAAGCCTCTGAAACTCTAGGGCCCTGAGGTTTTTTGAGGGTTAGGTCCTACAATGCGGACACTTCGATGCTGTCAAGGAAGGGGGGCCCAAGAATCCTCAAACTCCTTCAAGCTTCAGTTCAACAGAAGAGAAACAAGTACGAACATTTACTAGCCAGTAACACTGAGAACGGGCGCTAAGACGAGACTCCAACATATTTACCAGTTGAAATAGAGCATGCTGACGTCGCTCTCCTCGAACCCCTGGGCTTCGGACGCCATCCGTTCTGGGGTGGGCGATGCCTCTGACAGTGTTCGCATTCGCATTGGACTGACGGGAGCAATGAAAAGCCCTGACAATGCCGTGAAGTCTGGCGCCCGAACAGAAAGGTTTGAGGGTCGTCTGTCTGTGGGACGCGCGGGGTCTTTGACGGAAGCATCATGGAAGAAAGCCATGCGAGCCAGCTGTCTTTGTCAACCACACATTGCGTCCCGGGTTTACGAATTACCCCGCCCTCCCCCCACCCCAGAGCCCCTATTCTTGCTGAGAATCGCAGCTCTACGCGTGCAGGCTTCAGGACTTCAGGACTCCTCGATGGACGTCTGGGCTGATTGCACGAGCCCTCCCGCCCTGCTAAGGTCAAGCATGCGCAGGCCCATTTTCTGCCGAAGGTAGCACGCCAAACCACCAGGGTTTCGTGTTTAGGGAGTAGTGCCACTTTTGGGAGCGCCCAGCAGATGCCGCATTGAAGCTTAAGGACAGCATCAGGCAACAGAACATGTAGCCTCCCAATTGATTAGGACCCCTGATATAGACCCCAAAATAGTACGATTTCCTCAGAATAAGGACCCCAAGAAGGTACCCCTAACATCGGAAACCCTCAAGTCTTGGGCCCCCCGGCCTGGTGACCGGCCGGCCGCTTGGGCATGTCGGTGCTGTCACCTCGCAGCGCTTTTTGCGGGGTTCCTTGACTATCCCCTCTCCGCCATTTTTTTTTGTTTTTTTTTTCTCTCTCTCTCTCTCTCTCTCTTTCTTTCTTCCTTTCTTTTTTTGGGGCATGGGGCAAGCCCCACGCCAAGGCGCGCCCCGATCCCGCACCTGCTGAGTTTCTACCACCTGCCCTGCAGCCGATCTTCGGCCGCCTCACAGTCGTCCACCTATAGGACATTCTCGGTCCCCGAATTTCCAAAAGCAACCTCCCCAGCCCCCGCCTAGTGCCGTCGGAACGTGACTCCCCCGTCGGTTGGACTCTGTGCCCCGTGAGTTCTCACCGCCCCACATTCCATTGGCCCCTCACAACAGCAAAGCAAAGTAACCCCTAACCCCCTACCTTAACGCTAACTAACTTGGGCGGTGATGCAGTCTAAAGTCCTAATCAATGAAGGCCCCCAGCAGTCTACGACTAGGGTCTCTCTCTCTCTGTAGATTTTCGTGTGGTTTCCAAGTGTTGGGGGCTCTGAAAATCCCCGCTTTTTGAACGCAAAGGCAATGGCTGCTACACCGTTTGGAGTTTATGTCGGGGCGATAAAGTATACCCTTTGGAGTGTTGTTCGGCTTCCGCTCATCCATAAGGGGCGTGACCCAACTCAAGTGGCCCCAAACGAGGTCACCAGCGGCATTCCCCACATCTGCCTACATTGGCCTTTGAAGCTCCCAGGGCCTCAGATCGGACACCTTCGCCCATCGCCTTGCCGGAGCCCACAAACCTTCAAGTCCTAAAGGTCCCAACTTAGCAACAAACATCGCATTTTCAGTTTCTAAGCAATAGGCACGTAGAAGGTCCCTGCGAAAGCGCACCCGTTAACCCATTGTGTAAGATTGTACAAGGGCGAGGGGGAAGGGGAACCTCAAAGAATGTTCAAAATCCGAAACTTTTGGATGCAAGGGATTGTGAAAGATAAAGCAGATATGCAAGCATTCTAACTTTGCAAAGTATGGGCAAGGCAAGCTGTAACCCAGGAACACTGGGTGTGCGGACAGTTTTGAACTACGCAGGTCTGCAGCCCGTTGCTGGTCGAACTGCTGGGCACTGACCCAGGATGATGGCCGTGTCCCTACGTGCTAACGTCTTTTTCGGGATTGCTTGGGCCCTGCAGGCGTACTGCGGAGTAGCACAGGCCAACCCGATGGCCTTTGCGGTGCAGATCCCTCCCCCATATTGGTAGCCCCGAGACCGGGGCCCAAGGGCTCTCTCCGGGCCCCTTTGGTCCCATGGGTGCGACTTTTACTGCCAGAGGAGAGGATCCATCGGGATGCCTTCCCACTCAAAAACAAACACAAAAAGTGTGGTCACCGCCGTGCAGCCTCCTGCTTATATGGAAACACAAGCGTAACTTCAAGGCATTACTACAAGGCTGTTCGGGATATTCAAGCCTCTGGAAGCTCTTAGGTCCGGACGTGACTCACGGCTGCGACTGCGCTCCCTCTGCTCCGGGACCTGTTTGTCTTGTTCAGAAGGTATCGCAGGGCCTGTTGGTGGGGTCTTGAAGTTCTCTAAGTATGGGAGTGTTGTAGATCTTGAGCTTTGTCTAAATCTCTTGACGTTCTCAGGTCTGTGCTTCAGAAAAACGTTTCGGCAGCTCCAAATGACAAACAGGGTGGCTACAGGTGCTTGGATTGTGGGGATCATCTTCCCGCTTACCGCGACACTGCCGAAGTTGCATCTGGTCATGTGGATCCGGAGAGTACTGCATCCTCTGACTGACCTAGGGTTTTAGGGTGTTTGGGGTTCTGATATGCCCCAAACTTTGAACCTAGTCTCCAAGCCCTAGGCGCCTACCGCGACTCACGACGCTCCAACAGCTCGAAACGGCCCATTTTCCGTGATCCTTGCCTCCGCCGGCACTTCTGGCTCGGGCTCCTTCTCCACTTCCTTTTCCGGCTCCTTCAGTACAAGACTCCGAACCTTTCGCACCTGTCATCCTTAATCCTGAGCGATATTTCGCTCTCTCCCCTTTCATTTTCGGTTCTCCATCTCTCTTTTGCTCTCCTCTCTCTCGGATTGGACATGTTCTATTTTCACAGCAGTTCTCCGGCAGTTGCGAGTGGAAACTGCAAAAGCTGGTCTTGGGCAATGTTGCGTAGCAGCCAAGGCCGACAGAGGCCGACTCATCTTGCATGCCTATCCGACGAATATGTGCTGCATGTACATGAATGCGTTTGTGAGTACTATGGTTGCATCATATAACAGATACGCGGCATGCTTTGTATTGTGGTCTTTCACTGCGGGCATCAGGCACGCATGCGCATCTTCTTTGTTCGGTGAGGCTTCTTTTGCAGGATTGGCCTAACAAATATAGACAGCATGATGTTGCCCTGATTTTCGTTTGCCGTGATTGCAACCACCCGTTTGCAGGGAGTATCTCCTTTGAGGCGATGAATGCACCTTTGGGATCGGGGACGCTTGAATCACTGCATACATTGGGCTGGTAGGCCTGTGACGACTTCTGATGTGCATGAGTAGTACACGCAAAGGCATATGCATGGCTGGGATCCTTAATTCCGCAGCTGCCGAGTTCTGCATTTCGAGTAGGCAGACGAGTTCACCAGGTCTTCACTCGTTTGACCGGACGACCTTTCTGCAGGTTCCAGTTCATCATCGGGGTGTGGGCGTGGGAGGCTAGATGCGTGCAGTACACAGCTTGCGGCGGGAGAATTCACTGCGAGTGTCCACAGCCCGGCGGTACTAATCAATGGCATTGAGAGGTCACGAAGGATCGCCGGCCTGCAGTGGCCGTCACACTGGCAATTCAACAAAGGATTGTGGCCAACGCGCATCTCCTGTTTTGTGCGCGGGCCGATCGATTGGGTAGAGCAGAAAGTGTAGAGCGTCTCTGATATAGCACACGCTCTGCGAGACAAACGTTACGATTTCCGTCGGCTGCAAGTGCAGTATTGATGGCTTGATTGACTTGATTTGGTTGTGCACATGAGCAGGAGTTCAGGTCCATGCTTCTCCGTCTCATCTTGTATGTTGGCTCGAACATGTTCACTCTTGCGGCTGCGGCCGTTTGTGTCTTTGCACGGTGTAATGCCTCGGCTAGCTGATTCAGTCAGCCGCTACACAGTAGCCCGTAATGTGCGCCAGGTCTGGACAGCCATGCCTGCGTTAAAGGAGAGCTTCAGAACAAAAAACAACAAACTCGTTCCCAAACATCCCTGAAACCCGAACCGCAACAGGTTACTAAACGCCGCAAAACTATGCTCCACGGGCTGCGGAATTATTAAAAAAAACTCCAGCAGCACAACCCCAAAGCTCCGAAACCTCTCCTGGTCCTTCTCCTTGTCCTGTCAGGGCAGACTCAGCGTGAACAAGTGTCACAAATGCTCTGTGACACTGGGGGTGTGGGTTCTTTCGCGCCCGATTCCTGAGTAGAGTGGGACCAGGACTGATGCAAGACAAGTCCGGGGAAGTACGAAGCCAGCTGTATGGCAACCGCCGCGAAGTTTGGTGGCTGAGAACACAAGCCCGCATCTTTCATGCTTGTTTTTCGTTGCGGGCTCCCTGGAGCTTCTGGGCCCTTTTGTCACAACATGAGAGGCTAAGCTTCTGCAGTCAAGGGGGCGTGCAAAAGGGTTGAGCACTCCACGCACCGCCTACATTCTAGCAGCTAGCATCCACTGACAAAGAAGCCATGGGCCTGACGTCCTACTCAAGCGTCCTTCTCCTTTTCCTTCTTGTCTTTGTCCTTCTTCTCCTTGTCCTTCTTGCGGTCCTTGTCCTGCTGGAGGGCTTTGATGCATTCGGCTGACGTAAAAAACCGCATCCCATCAGATGTTGAGGTGTTGAGGTGCAAAAGCGTGAAGTATGGCTTTTGGGTCCAGAGGGCAGCTCGTTTGCGTTTAGGCATTGAGTTTGGGGTTTAGGGTTCAGGGTTTAGTTCTTTTGGTGAACAGAGACGCAACACGCTGCAGACTCGGTCTCGGTGCCTTGTCTCCACGCTCTCGGCTCCGGTCCTGTGGAAAAAGAACATGCAGAACATGCGGAACATTTTTAGGGTTTAGGGTTTAGGGCTTATTTTCGAGTGCAACTCGAGCATCAGTGCACTGCCCACCAGCGACAGCAACTTTGGATGTCCGAGCCATGCCAACTGCTCGCAATCTAAACGCCCACGTGAGAAGCAGCCAAGCGTTCGTGCAAGCCAACTCGAGAGACACTAAATGCCCCGACATGTGCCCTCGAAATCCCCCCCAACTCCCAGGCCTTCTCTTTTCGATCTTTCTTGTCTCGGTCCCGGTCCTGTCTCAAGTGCGGCGATTGACATCACGGGTCTCTTAAAACAAAGAGGAAGGGTCTCAAGGGGAAACAGGCCAAAAAACGCCCTAGGCTGCCAAAAACCTCAGCGTATTATGATTTCTGCAAGATCTGAACCGAATTATAGGCCAGGGCCGTCCAAATTGTGTGGACTCTGGAAACTTCTGTGACGTCAAAATTTGTGGCAGTGCCTGGCGTATGAGACCAGCCATTACCTCGATCCTGTTCTAACGCCGCCCGCGTGCCCTCAGCATACACCCCCACATTGCTACACTGAAAAACAAAAAAGTCGAAGCCCCTGCTGTTCTCAAACTCTACTACCTGGACTCCTGAGCGCCACCTACTGGCTATGTGTGAACATACATGATATGCCGGTTCTCGGTTCGCCCGAAACCTTAAACTCTAAATCATAAACCTTAAACCCTAACCCCAACCTCCCAACCGCACCACAAAAACAACGGGGGGGGGGAGCTGGACACTAAACCCAAAACCCTCCACCCGAAACCTTAAACCTTAAACCCTAAGCCCTGACCCAACCCCCCAACCACACCACAGCACAGGGCGGGGGGAACCATTGGGTGGGGTGGGTGGGGTGGGTGGCGGGCCGGCCGAACCCTGATCTTGCCTTGTAGCCCTTGCAACTGGTTTCTGATGTCTGAAACTGCGAAAACCCACTGATCCCTCAAGCCATCAGATTGGGGACGCTGATAACATGGCCGGTCCTTATCTCGATCCCGGTCTCGATCTCGGTCCTGGCTGTGAAGGGCTGGGTACCAGGATGTGAGAGCTTGAAGGCTTGAAGCTGGCTTGAGACTCTCAGCTGGCGGCAGTGATCAAACGCCAGAAACGTGCGTAGAACATCGGTTGCCCCAACGACTTTACTTCTCCCCCCCCCCCCCCCCCCGCAAAAACAAAAACGACCCGACAGGTTGGGGCTTCTGGCTTCTTCGCGCAAACGCGCAAAATCGTCAGACCCCCAATCCTGGCACACTGCAGATTGTCCCAAAGCCTAACAATGAACTCTCCAATGAGCACTAACTCTGTAATCCTAACTCTTCTCCGGCTCGCTGGAGCAACAGTAGCACCTTTCATCAGCCGCAGGAAGGCTCACCCCCCTCCCTCAACTTACCTTGCAACTTCATGGTTTTTAGCCAATGCTCGCTTGGCATCTGGAAGGCCTGCCTCATGTCCTGCTGTACCCAAACACGGTCCTTGTCCCTGTCTTTGTCTTTGTCTTTGGCCTTGTCCTTGTCCTTGTCCTTCCCTTAGCCCCCGGTGGATGTAACAAGAGCATAGCACGCGAGAAAAGGGCTTGGAAAACCGGACTCAGCTTTGGAATGGCAATGCCCACTGCTACGGTACTTGTGGCATGGACTGCTGGCCCGAAAGCATCTTGGGAAAGGGCAATTCTCAAGGAGCCACCCCAACTGAACTTCGATTCCTTTTACGTTTGGGGATGGGGGAAAGTGGCAACAGTGAGCTTATGTGATGATTGCAGGCATACAAACAAATTAAGACATAACGCCTAGTTCGTCCTCCACAAAGAGTTCGTGCCCTCTCGTTTTCCTCGCGGCATGCGTCTTGGCGTCAGGCCGCCGACAGCCTTCACCTCAGGGTCTTGCGTTTAGAAAGGTTGGGCTCTAAAACTCACTAAGCAGCTCTGCTCTACAAGCCTCTAAAGCCGTTCGGGCCTCGGCTTCGCCGAGGATGTGGAGTTGGGCGCCCAAGCAGCCGCCCACCTTTGAGAGATTTGGCTTTTTGGGGTGTTTCGTCTGAGAAACTGGCACGCTAGCCTGGACCCCCTGAAGGGCCATTTGAGACTTGGGAGTCCAGCCGAAGCAGTTTTAAAAACAAAGAGGGACCGCGGCTTCGATCGGCTCCGAACTCGCTTCGCCCCAGATGCCTCGCAGGCTGCGCTCGCGGCAGCATGGCTCAGCGCCTCGAGAGCATCCATGGGCATTGTCTCGTACAATCGATCTGGGAGTGTCTGGCGACCCCGAACCTTCCGAACCCTTGAAAAGCCTTACGCAGCGACAACAAGCTTCGAAGCCCTAAGCTTGCTGTCGAGAGGCAGCAGGGGCATGGGGGTTTCTAATGGGCTTGTAAGGTGGCTTAAGTCTGCTCGTTGAACCTACTTGTCTTGTAGTTCTCCTTGCATCTGCCATGGCATCCCCATGTTTGGCCTCTGTGCTCAATGCTGGAAGGCCTCCATAAACTGGTTTGTGATGAACCCCGAATGGTCCGGAAGAGTACGGCCGATAACTTATTGAATGGGTGAGTCATACCCACATATGTCACAAGCAGTGACCGTTAAGCCATGCACGAGGCCACGACCTTCTTAATCAATTACCCCGGGCCTTGGATGACTGTGCCATCCGTTGACAACATGCAACGTACAAAGCTCTGCGCAAACTCGTGCTGCTCTTTCCGAAGAAGCCCTTGGAGCTTAAGCCTCATGCGCAGAACCGCTCAACTCCATGAAGCCTGACGTCGAAACACCCTCCGGGAGACTTTCGCAAGCCGCCATGATCACTTCTGAAAGACGGTTCGAAGCATGGACTCAAAACCCACATGGCCCATGTAATGTCTCACATGACATGTTCCTGAATCCCTTGCGCTATGAAGCCGGAAGCGAGTTAGAAAGCCGTGAACTCCGAAATGGACAGCCCCTTCATCTCTCGTCTTCGGGGGCCCCGGCATCTACCGTGGCCGCGCGTGGCCGGGATGTGAAGAAGTGCAGCACTCTGGTCCACTGTGCTGACTTCTGGTAGGTGCCCATCCTCATGAAGCAAGGTGAGCAAGAAAGAACTGAACTACTGAGCTCCGGGTTTCCAGACATGAAGTTCTCGGAAAGCCACACGGGGGTTCTGTGAATGGTGTTAGGCAAGGTCACGCGAAGTGTATCACAGAGTTCTGTCCTTTTGCAGGCTTTATCCAACGATGCCACCTTTGGAGAATTGGGATGTTGGGGCTTGAAGTGCAACGGTCGAGGCACAGGAAGCCAATGGCATGTGCGGCCAAGTGTCACCGCATTGGAGGTGATCACGTCGGTGTGCTGGAGCTCAATGTCTTGCAGGAAAAACTGGGCTTGCTGCCACTGCCTCGGCTCCGCACTATTGTCGCTGGAGCGGGGTTCTTCCGAACCCGGTTTGGGGGCGAGCGGTTCTGGGCTGGCAGATGATGCTCTTCGGGTCTCGGGCAAGAGCTTGGCTGATGACCTACTATTCTCACGTAGAGACTTGGCCCAGGTGCTGGCACCGACCACATGTGAGGATGAGGGCACCGTAGCTGATAGCCTGAGGTTAACTGAATAGCAAAATTCGTTGCAGCTTCTTGTGCCGGGTCTGCTTGTCGGGGCACGTCCCCCTGCAGATCCGAGAGATGAAGCTTTGCCAGCCTTGGCTGCGTGGCACGCGGCAAAAGATAAAGGCGTAGAGCCAAGATTTCACATCTTGGTGTCAACTGTGCGTGGATGTAACGGGTGGTTTGTGCGGCTTCTACCTGGCGCGTATGCTAAGAATCATTTGAAGCCACATGAATTTCTGAAAGAAGCTGATGATGCACAATTATCGGCAAACCAAGTATGTAAGTGTTGTTGCCTCTGCTCCGCTTTGGGCTTTTTGGGGCTTCTTCGAAGTTCTCCGGGCGCAAGGGGGCTTTGGAAAAGCTGGCAGCCGAGTTGCAGTGATGTGGCCCAGCGCCACTGCCAGCCTGCTGTGGAGATCGAGGATGGCATGGGGGCCTGGCTCAGAAGCCAAAGCCACAAGTTGCAAGTCGCGAACAAGGGCTTCGCTCTCGCAGTGATCCAAGGCTGCAAGGTTCTGAAACGACTAGGCACGAATTGTTCGTTCACACCGTCAAGGCCGCCTGCAGAAAGTTAGCAGTAAAGAATGTGTGAATGCAATACACTGCATTGGCTTTTGACGTGAGTTCAGCTTCTCGACCTGCTGCAGCTTGACTTGAGCGTCTGGCAACCTCCCGCTTGATTTTGGGCCCCCCTCCACCCCCTTCAGCGGGCCTGGCGCTCGCCGGCCTTCTCCACGGCGCTCAGGAGGGCGTTGAAAGCGATAGCCTCAACGAGGGCAGAGGACGGCTTCAAGCTTACCTCACGATGCCGCCCCTCCGCTCGGCCCCGCTTCCCCTCCACTCCACTTCCTCCCACTTCCCTCCCCCGAAATATGAGCGCTGGGCATCCATCTCGATGGACCGGCTCCATGCGTGGAGGAGGAGCTGGTGTGCAAACTGCCACTCCACAGCCTTCTCCTGGGGCTTCCGACTGCGTCTGTGGGATTTCAAGCTGAGGGCTTCAGGGTGGAGAGACGGGTCTTCGGAAACGAGCGGAGCTGCTCAGAAGCCAAGAGGGATTGTGCTTCCTTCTCAGTGCAGGAAGTTGATGCTTGGTTCGTCCATGAGCATGAGGAGCAAAGCGTCGCGGAGGCACTTCGGAGAATACTGAAAGATCGAACATCTCTTCCTCTGGTGCCTGCTGCCATCAGACACGCCCGCCCGAACAGCAAGCTGGAGTGGGCCAACATAGACATCTCCTCAACGTCGTAACCAGTATAGCTGTTCCTGTGACTGAAATCACGGGTCCATGAACCTACTGAGCCTAGACTGGCCCTAAACCACCAAACCCGGCATTTTTGAGCGATTGACCGAGGTGCACAGGCGCTGGCAGCGGCATTGATGGTAACCTCAGCGGACAATGACAAGAGATGACAAAAAACACCCAAACTAGAAACCAGCTTTCTTCCATGGCTGAGGGGCCAGGACCCGGAGCCTAAGTGTATTTATTTGTTCTGCTGCTTCTTCAAGCCTGTGGCCTTCTCAAGCGCCACTGCATCCTCTCAACGCCCCTAGCGGCACCGTCTGAATGGCAAACCCGCACAAAACACAATCCTGGGCCAGGGCACGGTGTCCGCAGCCAGACGCCGCATGGACAGGATGCCGACGGCACCCAGGGCCGTGCGCCACTGCCGCGCCTGACTACCGAGCTCAGGGCCAGCTTGAGGCTTTGGGCAGGGAGCCCTGTTGAACAGGCTTAAGGCTTCGTATCTCCCATTTCTTGACAGCGTTGGACCCTGTTGTGGTGCTGCCCTTCCCTCGGACCCAGCACCTTCTCCAAGGAGCTGAGAGCCTGGGCTTCTGATCGAAGGGGGGGACTTGGAAGGATTTGGGATGATTTGGGGGGTTTCCGAAAGGGCACCCTTCTTGGGGGGTCTCGTTTAAGGGGATTCTATGCTACTTGGGGTATCAAAGGGGTGCCCCTCTTTTGGGAAATGTTAGGGCTTTCGTTGGTTTTAGGCTGAGACCGACGCCATCCTAATGTAGCCTCCCATCCTTCCCGAACACCTGCATGCATCTGCCGACGAATGACAGAGTTATAGGAGATCCGGTCGACGGCGTCGCTCCCGCCTCGCGCGTCAGCGCAGCATGTCCGAACTTTCGGCGCTTCAAAGCCCCAAATCCGTAATCTAGAGACGCTTGCTGTAAACTCGCAAGCCGCGGGAGGGCTTGGAGCCAGGCCTCGTAAAAGGTCGCAGGCTCGTGGCCACTGAGCCGTATGCTCGCAAGAAGCAAGGGCCGAGTTGAGGCTGATGACCGTCGGCTGCAGCGCCGCCTCAAAAACGGTTGTGGATGGAGTTGGGGTCAAGGTCAAGGCTCCCAAGTTTTTTGGGCCAGCGCTCCCTGCACGGCCGTTCTAGGGTTTCAGGCTAGTCTTTTAAGCAGAGTTGCCCGTTGTTTGGGTCCTCTCCTTCGGCCTTCTTGCCTTGCTGTGGGCAGATCTGTGGGACCCAAGTTCTGATCTTCAACATACCTGTCCATGTTGCCGAAATTGTGTGAGAACATCCTTTGCAATCCCCAAGAGGCCCCCAAAGTCTCAGAAAGAAGGCCCAGTCCTCGCCTGTGGGATCCGAGCCACGATTTCCAGGGCCGCCTTCCACTGCCGCGCGTCGCGACCTCAAAGCAACGATGGAAGGGCTTCGGGCTCCCTCCTTTCTGCCAAACCCTGAAGTCCTTGAAGCCTCACCAAGCAACACAAGCTCGGGGAAACGCATCGACCCAAAGCCATAGTTGTCCGAAAGGGCACACACGCGGCTTGCGGTGTGGTACGCCGCAGCATCGCTGTGGAGGCGCCGCAGCAGCAGGGCAGTCGGCCATAGGGAGCTCCTGGCCAAGGGTAGGGGGAAACAGGATTTTTCTCTTGCGAAGTTGGGTTTCAAACCGTGCAACCCAAGCAATATGTGGCCTAGTTAACAGAACCCTCGTTCAGCGGCAGAGGCCTTCCTAACACCTGCTGTTCGCTTCTGTTTAAGTTGGCTTCAGGCGGAACTTGCATTCTTAGCATGTAAATCCCGGGGTGATCGTGCGGAAGATTTGCCCTTTGGAGCTTTGCCCTGCCTCTCCCCAGCTCCAAGGGCTACGCCGCAGCCTGTCGCCTCCCAACTTTGTCCACGGGAACCGGGAGACAGCTTTGGTTTCGGGGTGCAAGGTCGTAACGAGTTCGAACATTTTGAGTGTTGCGAGCACCACTTAAAAGGGTTGGTCGTGGCTGCCTTGTCTGTCGAGCTCTACTAGAGCAGTGGATCCTCAAACCTGAACCAGGAAGCCATCAAAAGTGCTCAAACTGCATAGTAACTAGTAACTACCTGGCACGCCACGAGTTGTAAGTGCTGATCTGATGTATGCCACGGGTGAAGCTATCTGATACTGCCCTGCAAAAAAGCCCAAACTACGAGGCTGCCAGCCTCAGAAGGCCATTCTGCAAGCAAAGCCTGCGCTGTAGGGGAGAGGGTGCTCCGGTCAGCCCAAGGTTTTGGTCTTAGCCTTCGAGGCTCAGGGCGTTCAAAACAGGAAACAAGACTCTGCAGCCTCGTTCTTGGTAGCTACAGGCCCGGGTTCTCGGCGCGCGATGCTAGCTTTGGAGCAACAGCCATGAGGAGCAACAAGAAACCAACACAAACCGGGTGAAAATTGAACACCTAAAACCCTAAACCCTACACCCTATATCCTAAACCCTAAACCCTAAGGCCCCAAGCTGCCCTCGTCGGCTCCTGTGCATGAGGCCAGTCGCCGGAAGCGATGGCGCTCCTGAGATCGGAAAGTGGCCCCTTGAAGCTCTGAGGATGGGTGCGGTTTAGGTTTTTTTTTTTTTAGGGTTTAGGGTTTCGGGTTTAAGGTTCAGGGTTCAGGGTTTAGGGGTCTGCTTACGTTTTTCGGGTTTGGACAGGAGGGGCGCCCATTAACTTTGTTGCAGATCGGGAAACAGAGAGGGTGAAGGCCCTCCCAAACCCAAAGGGCTACGACTTTAAGACAGTTAGAAGGCAAGCAAGAAAAGGGCTTGGAATTCATCTGCGCCATTCGGGAGGCTCAAAACGGCCAGCCATTTGGTGGCAAGACCCACATGCGTGCAAGTCCGCCAGGAACATGTCTGAAGCCATAGCTCCAGAATGGAGGAAACAGCAAGCGTATCGCAGCGGCTGCCCAGGAAAGCAAACAAACACGCAGCGGTTCATCCAGGAGCTGGGGAAGGCTCACTGACAGTCCAGAAGCGACAGTCACGCGTCTCGCGAGGCCAAGCGCTGTTGGCACGTTTTGCCCCTCTTGTTACTGGTTGGGTGTAAGGTTGTCCAGCATTTTTTTATGGTTAGGTTTCCAGTTGCCTAAAACTCTATTATTCTGTGCGGTTTGGGGCTCAAAGTTCAGGGGGGGGGTAGTACCTAGGGAGCCTTAGGGAGTTGTGGGGAGTATTCGGGAACCTTGGGTTACATACCCCTTGAACTCTCTCCCCTAAGAACTCTATAATAGACGGGCGGCAGGGTCGTGCTGAAGGCGATACTGTCGGCCTCATGATGCATCTACTCGGAGAGTTGCCATTCGTGGGCTTGGGGTTTCCGGAATTCTAGGCTACTGTAGATGTGTGCACTTCGGCTGACAAGTACCTTTGAGGAGTTTGTGTCTATTTGCGGGTGCTACAGCAACTAGGGTTTCATGCAATATCCCTGATCAGCTCCAAGGCTGTCCATGATGCCATTGTTTTGCTAAGTCTGGCCAGCGAACGCTATGAGAACGCAGCAGCCCACCCCTGTCTCCGCAACATCCCAAAACCGATTACCACCGCGCGAACACTTGTTGATTCGCCAGCAGCCAAGGGTTTTTTCGTAAAATGGACCCAAACCCAAGGGGCCTCCAACCGCTGGCGGCCAAGGTGATGGAAGAGGTCCAGGGCCTGCTGCCAACCTCGAGCGGCTTTCGAAGCGCTGGGAGCTTGATCACAGCTCCAGGGGGCGTTGGGTTTCGGTACTGTCACGCCCAAGACGGAAGCCCTTTGGAGTTTTCTTGATTCTCCTGGGGCCGTCCCTTCCTGGAAATCTCGACCCCAAACATCCCCCGAACTCAAGACCACTAAGGCCCAAAACTCCAACCCTCAATCTTCAGCCCTCCACCTTTAAAAAGCCCCCCACTGTCGCATTCCGCTTCCCAGGAGCAGGCAGCCACTTCGCAGGCGCGGATGCTGCAGCTGCAGACGACCAGGCTTGGGGACAAGTGGGCCTCCCGAAGAGGGAAGCCCAGGGCGGAGAGCTCCGGCAGGTTTTGGCTTTAAAAGGCTCCTAGGACTTGTCGGTCTTCCGGTGTGTGAGAGTTGAGGAACGGGAGGTGTGGACCAGGTCGTGCAGCGGCAGGAGCGTGGTTTTGACTTCGCACGCGCAGTGTTTTCTTAGGGCCCATGACTTCTGCTGGGAAGCCACAGGCTGCTTCGGGAGGGGCAGCTCGTGGCAAGGTCGAGTATGCATGAAAGATGGAAGGAGTGGTGTAACAGAACTGCTGCAAGAAGGCGGCTTGACATCACACTTTTGCAAGCCTGAAACTCTCAACCTGGCATCCAACAGCCCAGATCCCTACAGTCGGAAGCCCAACCCCGACAATGAAGATACCCACGGGCAAAGGTGGCAAACCCAAAAACGTCATGCAGAGGAACTGAACAAAGCTATATTCGTGGCGGTAGTGCTTGTGATGCATTCCGCCATGCTTCTTCGTGGCACAATTCCACCGCTTCTTAAAGATTTCTTTCCCGCTTGCACCAGACCCGAGCTCAAGGTCCCTGCGGTCACCGGCACAAGGCTTAAAATGGGTTTAGGGACGAAATCCTGCAATCCCCCAGAAAGAGGGCCTTGCAAAACCCCCTAAACTTTAAACCCAGACTCCGAATGTCGATGTGCCCTACCTGCACCAGGTCGGTAAGCAGCTGCACAGCTCGTTGCCACTCGCCTGCGATGGCAAGCGCAGCGGCCGCCGCGCCGAATGCCACGATGCTGGCCTTGTCACCGGCCAAGTCAGCTTTCATTTCTTCTGGGATTCGCATCTTCTGAGCATGTCTGTCCCTTGCATCGCCTATTTGCCATGGACTGTGAAATGATGAAGCGCTTCTTGCACCAATTTGCATTCCTGCCTACACGCTTCCGGGGTTCCTCCACTTCTGGGAAAAAAGTGAAGGCTCCAGAACTAGTCCACAGTGGTTGGAGGTTACACATCGTAACCCTAAGCCCGAAGCCTGCCAAATTACGTGCAGGGCCTCAAGGGTGTCCTTGTGCAGTTGGGTGAGGAGATTGAGTGCTTCCTGCCATCGCTCCTTGCCACAAGGAACCCGAGATACGCAAAGAAAACGCATGCTCTTCGCTTTTGGGGCTTTCAGAAGGATGGGTGGCCCCAGGAAATTCGGCAAGGCCTTCAAGAGTTGAAGGGCCAAAGCGAAGTAGGGCGGGGGGGAGCCCCTGATCTCCCTCAGGCCCTTTTCTCCCTCAAGAGTATGCGTGAGCCTTTGAACCGGCGCTAGACGTCACCTCTAAAGCTTTGGCGTCGAGCGAATTTTCGCAACATGAAACCGGAGCCTCGACTCCTGACTCCCAGCTTTTCCAAACTTCCCAACCCATCCTGGCATGCGCTGATCATGGCGCTGTATGTCACGGCTGTGGGTCTCAGCCGCTCCTCCGCATGCCAGCTTCAAGCGTTGTCCGAATGCTCAGTGCTCAAAAGTGTGTAGAAGGTGACAGTGGCAGTAGAATCGTCATGTCTCCTATTCAGAAGCTTGTCAGTTGCGGGGCTCTGTTCGGGACTGCCGCTCCAGTTTCCTCACCGACATGTAGATGCGCTGCAGAAGCACTCCACTCGTATGTCCGAACAGTACCACGTGAGACTCGTGGGAAGGCGACCGAATCGATGCCCCCTGAAGTCTTGACGTGACGTGTGAAATCTCAAAAGACGAGGGGCCGCCCGAAGTTCGGACAGGAGTTGGAGGGCTTCAAGCCTCGCGCACAGGGGCCGCAGTGCCGGTGCTGAAGAACAACAGTGCGTGTGTCTTGCACATGTGCGTGTGCACGCTTCCGCCAGACTCAGTCCGGGCTCCTTTGCGCAGAGCCTCCGCATGCGGAGATTGCGGCGTTGTAGGTGATGACCTGAGCCATGAACTGAAAGTGGACTCAAGACCCGGCACGCTAAAGCCGCCGCCCTGCCTGCAGGCTTCCAAGCACAAGCACCAAGCCCCCCCAAAATCCAAACAGCCCCAACCCTGCGAAGCAAATGCCAAGCCATGAAAACCTGGATCGCAAATCTTACGTCGTGCATAAGAAATGCCCCAGGGATTTCACACCCTCTCATGGAACATTTCAAGTGGTGTAGGGGCGTTTGAGCAGGGTTGGGATGGGTTTTTGCCCTCAGCCTCCAAAGCCTCAATGATAAATTTCGATGTCACTGCTGATCTACCAAGGCCCGAGCAAGAAGCCCAGGTGCTTGGCGAGAGTTTTAGGTGCTCTAACTCGGGTTTTAGTGCTGTGGCCATGAAGTCCAGGCACGTTGGGCTGTAGATGAAGATCTCGAAGTTCTTGAAGGAGCCTCTGCTGAAGGTCTGTGGTTGAAGGATTTGGGGGTTTAGGCGCAACAGAAACAGCGACATGGCTTGTAGTGCAGGGTGTGTGCACGCCAGTGAGGCACAATGAACGGCTGCCGACTGAGTTGTTGTTCCTGCCGGCCAAACAGAACTAACCTTCCCTGAAGATACCAAACCCGAGGCACTCGGTATAACTGCAGGTCCAAGCGACGCCAGAGCCTGCCGCCATTCTCCTGTCTTTCGCTTTGGAACTGTAGGCTGAAAGGCTTGTGGCTGTTGATCAGAGGCTTGGGTCAAGGGTCTGAAAGTCACAAAGCCACCTCGCCCAAACCAGCCGTACCGTGCTTCTTCGAACAGCTGTTTCGTGAAGATGATCGTGCCCCCCCAAGCCTGTGCAGGTGCTGATGACACTGCTCAGGACCACGACGTTGGCACGGAGAGCTCGGCGGGGGAGGTCTCCTTCAGGGTCTCGCGGCGCTTGGAAGGTTCAGGTCGGAACGATGCTTAGGATGCCTTTGAAGGCTCTTGAAACCTCCGGAGGGCACACATATGCACATCTTCTTTCTCTTCCGAAACAGAGATCTCCCACGCGCCTAGGAGGTCCAAAGCCTGGAGCCACCCTCCGAGGGCGCCCAGGGCAGCACCGAAGGTGAAGACGTTGCTCTGCCTTGGCTTCCAACACTCTTTCACAAAGCCCACAGGGAGGCCAGCTAGTGTGATTTCCATGTGTTCAGTCCGCGAAAGCTGCTGGATTTAGGATTGCCTTTGGTGCTTTGTGGCCTTGGGCTCGCAGGGTCTAGGCACTTGCGCGGCTTGCGGTGGAGACTGAGGAGGCCAGGCCGGAATCGAGTTGCAGGCGCACGCTGTCCACCTCTGCCAGCAGCTCCAGTGCGTGCTGCCACCAGCCGCCTGTGCCAGGTGGACGTTTTCCGGTTCTTTGCCCTGGACGGAAGGGGCTTCACACAAGTCACGACAGTTCCCCGGCACAAGCGAGCACCGGGTCCAAGGACGGGCCGGGTCCATACCACATACCATTTCCTACCATTCCTGATGGGGCCTTGTCAACGTGTCGGCGACACATCTCGCGCCGCCACTTCAAGTCTCAAAGCTTCAGGTGAATGAATATCCTACGGGCTGAGGACGAGTTTAGGAACATCAGCTTTAGGGGCTTCGGGTGCCGCATCGTTTCATGGGTTCAGGTGGCCCAGGGTTGCTCGGCCACAACCTTCTCATGTGTAGGCTTGGCCTGTCAACATCTCCATTTAAGGTCCAAGGTGTAGGGTACTGCATTTCCTTAAGGGGGTTGGGGGTTGAGCACAATACATCTGCTTTCAGGGTTTGCGGTCGCCCAGCCAACATATCCTTTTAGGGTTTGGACGGTTTGGGCTTAGGGTGCTGCGACTTCATTCGGGCTTTAGGGTTGAGTTCGGGGTCCGTGCATTACGCCTCCACTTGTCTATTTCATGGTTGGGATAGTATTAAGCATTTGAATTTCTATTCCTTGTCGAGTTTATGTACCCTTAAGAATGTAAATGTTGCCCCACTATGGCAAAGTCTTGGGCTGCCATATCTTCGTAAAGGGTTTTGTTCTCAAGGCAGCGTCTGCGTTTAGGATTTAGGGATGCGCCTGACATAATGGCTTTGACAGAGGCTGACCGAAGTATCTGGCTTAATGAGGATTTTGAGCTTCAAGATCCGACAGGCTCTGGTATCAGTACCATACCGCTCTATCCTGACATGTTGCCACTATAGCCCTGTACCGACCTCGCGCGCAGGCGGTGAGGGCAGCAGTGTACGACACTTCCGTCGCCTTCGCATGCAGGCGGCGTAGGGTTTCATTTCATAAGCCGCCCTCACCCTGAAGGCAGCTCTACATTTCAATCCCGCTTTCTGCGGAGAAGGCTGGCCAAGCAAACGTTCTACGCGCGGAGGGGGTCAGGATGCTTGTGATAGAGATGATCACCTGATGATCGCAATTTGCTCATCAACTGCCCCAGCCTTTCCAAGGAAGCCACAAGGCGGGGGGGGGGGGGGGAACTTCTACAAAGTTCCGTACCAGTTTAGAAAGAGAGAGAGAGAGAGAGAGAGAGAGAGAGAGAGAGAGAGAGAGACACAGAGAGAGAGAGAGAGAGAGAGAGAGAGGGAGAGGGAGAGGGAGAGGGAGAAAGAGAGAGAGAGTTCTGAGTGAGTTGAGAGGTTTGGGACTTGGTAGCCCAGTAACCATATTCTAACATGTTTACTCTTTGTGGGGTCGGTAACTTTATACGGAGAAGCTTTTGTGAACACCTCCTTTCCAGGCACTTTCTTAGGCTCGGCGCCTGGAGACTTGCCTCCGGTAGGGCCTCGAAGAGGCGGAGCGCTTCCTCCCAGTCGCTGCCTTTCTTCTGGCTTTTGGGGGTTTGAGAAGAATGGCTTTAAGGGGTTTAGGGTTTAGGGGGGGGGGGGGTTGGCTTGGCTAGGGCCAAAAGGACCTTTGGAGCGCAGGGGGATTCAGGGATTTTCGACGCCTCGCTCTCTTTCTGCTTCCTCTCCCTCTCTCCCTCCCCGTTATCCCATCGAATCCTATTCGCCCAGCTGGAAGGATCTGCGCCCCTACCGACAACAGTGCCCCAAAGTACGGTTGAGCGCCTGGTCCAAGAGCTAACAGACCACCCACCGGAATGGCCCCCCCCCCCCCCCCCCCCCCCCCCCCCCCCAATTATGGGCGAACTCTCTTGGGGCCATGACTCGACGCATCCCTGGGTCCCCTCGGGCCTTTCGCATGGGAGCTGAGGGCAGCATTGTATTGGACAACATCCTGGGGAGAGCTGCTGCAGTGGCTGAGACCAAGAAGTCAGCTGAAAGTCATGAGGCTTCACAACCTCCCTTGGCTTTTCAAGGCTCCTCAGGCCGTTGCAGGCTTTCAGCGACCAAATCCCTGAGCTCAAGCTGTCTGACCCTCTGGCGAAAGTGTTCTAGAGTATGGCTAGAGTCCATGCGGATGCGCTGGCCGGTCGCGGAGCGGCCATGGGCTAGGCCGGGAGCACAGCTGCAGCAAATCCTGCCAAGGAGGCAGGGCCTAACTTGATGTGTATGTCCTTTCAATGCCGAAGGGGTGTCAGGGTAGGTCAAGGAACCCAAACACCACATGAGCTCCCCAATCCTTCGTCCCCCCCGGGCAGATCCTGGGGCAAGCGTAGCTTCGGTGGCGAGACGCTGAGGCCGCCAGGAACGGGCGAGGAAGAATCTTGTGCGACTCGGTCTTTCGTGATTTAGAATCATGAAGTTGTCCTCCAGGATCGGTTGAGGCCTGAGCTTTGCTTAGAGGTTGGTTTGGGGGTCGTTCAGATCTAGGCCTCAAGGCGGTTCGCATTGAGGGCTGGCGACATGACACGTACATCTGGCCGCTGATCTGAGTTTGAGCCCTTAGCGGCTGAGGAACTTCCGGTTGCCAAATGCCTACGGCCCATTTGGGGTCTGGCCTCCCCTTCGAGTTGGTTCCTTTGTGCTTTGCTAGCAAGTGGGACCCCAGCCAGCCCATCAGAACCTCCCGTCGCATCCCCGAGCTCTGCTCAGCACTCCGAAACCATCAGAACCTGTACCAGAAGCTCTACATCCCTCGCTACCACAAATTACCCATCCTGCAGTCCTGACCATCCCCCAAAGCCCCAAAGCCCCATACCCATAAACCTCAACCCCTAGGCCCTGAATCCCTTGTCTGAACCCCCCCCCCCCCCCCCCCCCCCGGATTCTCCAGCGCCCCGGCCCCGGCGCTTGGAGCGGGAGCGGTTGGATCGCGAACGGCTCCTGAGGTGTGAGGGGTTCCGGGATGTTTTGGTTTGGATTTTTTAGCACCTCCGCTTGCGACCCTAAGCTGTTGAACAAGGGCATTTTGCAGTTCAAATACAGGCTAACTTCGACTCCAAGCCCTCGATCATCAATATCTTATGTAACGAGAAGTCCTATGGGCCTGACGTGGCACGAATGCCAAGTGCCTGAATAAACTCGCTGAAGGTTCAGTGTTCCGTTCGCAGGTTTGTACCGCCCCAACCTTTCCCAAGTTGACTTAAACTTTTTTGGGGTCTTTGGGGTATCCGGCCATTGATGGCCCCTGCCTTTGCTCACTTGACATGAGCCCTGGACGTGCGGCACGTGCTCGCCGTCAAGTCAAGCCAAGTCTGCCCCTCCAAGCTTAGAAGCTTGAGCCCTGCAAACGAAGCCTCCACAAAAAACCTCTACACAAGACAGTCGTACCACAAAACTCAATCTGAACTTGTCCTCCCTCTCACTCCCCTGTCCTGCGATCGCGGCGCCGCCGGCTCTTCGATCTAGACCTCCGCTTCGAAAAGTTTTTGGTGAGTTTGTTTAAGAGGCGGTTGAGGGAGGTTTGCCTGAAGTCTGGTGGCTGAAGGGTGGGGCACGTGAGTGCTCTCTGTTGAAGCCCTTTTCATCCACTTCGAGGACTCTTCCAACCACCTGAGCCCTACCCGCCCTTAAAATATAATATGCACCCACATTGAGTTTGGGGAGTTTGGGTGAGGTTCACGGGGGGGGCGGGGGGGGTGGGGCCCGCTTAACTCGCGTATCTTCACAATGCAATGGTTATTTCCATCCTAACGTCAGGGGTCCCTACGAACACCTGGTCGGTACAATGCCCCATTTTGCCCAATCTACGACGTCGAATACGCGGACAACACGCTTCGCGTAAGATTGACCACGCTGCAGCTTTGAGAGCATGTTACACGAATTGGAGCGTGAAGCAGCTAGCTACGGGAAATAGCAGAGGTACCAACTAATTTCGCGAAACCCACACCCCCCCCCCCCCCCCCCCCCCGGGGCCCCCCCCAACTTTGAAGATTAGGAGCGAGCCAGTTCCGACCACAACGCAAGCAAAACATCTGGGGTCCATGGTATCCTGGACAGCTACATTTCGAACAGCGTTTCGTCGCCAAGAAAGCGTATAAAGAGCTACGACTGTATGCCCAGCCATCTTGACGTGTGGCCCGGAAGCCCGTGCCCTCTACGGATCAACACCCCAAGTCCATAGATTGTTGCTACCTCGGGTTCCTCAAACGCATCGTTGGTATCAAAGCATCACATTACTCCAGAACACTCAACTCTGAAATACATGTAGCAGGAGAGCAACACTCCCTTCAGAAACCCTCAAGCAAGCAAGCCCAGTTGAAGCAACTACAGGAGGTCTTCTTAGCCACTCTCAACTCCCCTCTTCCACGATAAAGCTAGTAAATCAGTAGCATCCTTGCCCTGCGCCTGAACCCTAAAGTTTCGGGAAGGATATTGGTTCAGGGTTTAGACCTTGGGGGTCTGGGAACCTGTTACCCAGATGCTCTCCCCAGGGACTGCCTGGAACGTTGTGGGCTCAGCCTTGGCAACGCTCCGAGCCACCAACGCGCACAAGCACACACGACACCAAGACGGTGTGCACCTACCTGCCCCCTTCGTATTCTTGCACTTTCCCATGCCTGACCTGCAGCCCAAGCACTCTCCCCTAAACCCTAGCCCTAAACCCTAAACCCTAAACCCTAAACCCTAAACCCTAAACCCTAAACCCTAAACCCTAAACCCTAAACCTGTCTCAACTCAGCTCAGCTGAAGCCCTCGCCAAGAGCGGCTGGGCTTGCAGCTCCATGCGGGAGCCAAAGCTGCCCTTGCCCTTGCCCCTGTCGCCGCCCTTGCCTGGCTCGCTTTGGCTTGAGAAGGCTTCTACATATAGGGGCGTGAATAACTAGAATAGGTTTTGATTTTTTTCTTTTATTTTTTTTGGGGGGGGGGGGGGGTTGTAGTAGTATGATTATACAGGGACCACAGGGGAATCCTATTCGTTATTTTTTCCGACCCCTAGAGTATGCATCTTCCCAAGCCGCCTCGCGCAACGTTTGCACAGCATGTCTGTTGTAAGTTTAAGAGGTGAGGAAATGAGGGACCTCAGGTTTAGGTTTGCAGTTTCAGCTCTGAAAAGACTCGCAATCATTGGAAGAAAACTAGAAATGTGTAGTTCGCTCTGGCCGTCTTCTCTTCAGCGGCTTTGGGTAAGGCAGGGTGTCAAAAACATGTGAAGCAGTCAGTGCGTTTGGAAGTGGGGAACTGTGCGCTCCAAGAAGCCGGTTCAGGACAAGGGGACCAGCAAGCTCAAGGAGATATACATATATATATATATATATATACATACACACATACATGTTTGTACATGACGAGAACTTATGTACACAGACAGACAGACAGACAGACAGACAGACACACAGACAGACAGACATACAGACAGACAGACAGGCAGACAAGCAGACAGACAGACAGACAGACAGACAGACAGACAGACAGACAGACAGACAGACAGACAGACAGACAGACACAAAGACACACACACGCGCGCGCGCGCGCGCGAGCAAGAGCAACTCTAAACCCCAAGCAAACATCGATTCTCTCACTGCTCTGCAGCTAGTTCCATAGTCGCCTCCACCCTTTGGGACGAAGGTGCCGTCCTTGGGTTTGGAGAGCTTGGAGACACTTGGGGCATCTTGGGGGTTGGAGTTTAGGCAGCGCTGTTGGGGAGGGGCAATTGGGGGTTCAGGGTTTGGGTTTAGGAAGTGTTGGGAATCTGTTTGTGATTGGTGTTCAGGGCTCTCAGGTCTAAACGCCACGTGGTCCTTCCTTGAGCAAAACAGATGCTCGCGAAACTCTTTTGGGACCGTTAGTCATGCGGCACTCGCTGCGGCTGCTTCAGGTGTTTCGGTTGATGGATCAGGAATTCCATCGGGCATGGCTGTCGTCAAATTTCCATTGCAACCAAACGTGCTCCTGTGAGGTCCTTATCAAAGCCCAAAACACTTGAAGACTTTCGACTAACTTCATTCGCAAGCATTCGCGCTGGAGGTCTCCTCTTGGGGTAGCCACATGGTCCCTTAATATGGGCCCTTTAAAGGGGGACCCCTTATATGCCCCGTATCTACCCTATACAACCCGAGGGCCCATGCTTCAGAACCCGTCAAACGAGGTAAGGGACCATATTAAGGGGACCGTGTACCTACCCTTAGGTCTCCGAACCCAACAGCGCCCTATGATCGAAGTTTCTGGTGCAGTGGTCAATAGCGGGGCATCTCGCAACGAACCCTTCCCAAGCTGCCATGGGATAAGAACACCGACCTTTTGGTGCCGTGGTGCCTGTAACCCGAAATCTGTCAGCCCCCCCCCCCCCCCCCCCCCCAAAGTCCCAGTAAACATTCTCCCGAGCTTTTTGAGTATAGGATCTTTTGGAACTGTTGGGGTCGACTTTGGGGGTTTTTGCTTCCTGGCCTCCATCTCCCGCATCTTCACGGAGAGAAGCCCGGGAGGGTTGCGTGCCTGGGTGCCACGCTTTAGGAGGGGTTGACCTTCTCAAAGCTTGTTCGAGGGTGTTCTGCGGGTGAGGGCTCTCAAACCGTGCCTATGTGGACTGACAGGGCTTTTCTCTGGAAGTCTCTTCTTGAAAGGACAGCGCCTTGATTGCCAAGCAAGAGTGTTTTGCTGGAGATCAGAACCTTCTGTTGCGACATCTGAGACCACAAAAAGCTCTGTTCTCCTTTTCCCGAACGCCAAGCCTGGGGCTCCTGCGAGGGCCCGCACCCCTAGCTTCCAAAGCCGAACACGCCGTAACATGCTTTTGACTTGTAACATCCCCTTTTTTGGCCATAGATAGAGCTCCTGAGGAGGTCTCCTAAACCCTAAGCCCTAAGCCCTAAACCTCGAGATGTTCAACTTGGCGGCCCGGCCGTCTCCAGGGTCTCGGTGAGGCTTCGCAGGTCCTGCACCGCAACCAAAGCCTTCTCTCAACAGCTTCAAGAGGTATACGTCTCTCTTTTTTTGGATGTATACTTTTTGACTTTTTTCAACTCAGTTCAACTCCCGTCTGCCTGCCTCACAAGGCTTTCAAGGTTAGCCTGATTCAGAAGAGCTCTGGGTTTAGGGCTCAGGGTCTCCCACCGTTCTGTACACGCATTGTGTCATAAAGCCCTCACCGATCTTGACAAGGATCGCACAGCCAGAGGCAACTCGCCAAAGTCTGGACACTCCACTTGATGCCATCCCAGCCTAAAACCCTGACCCTGAATCCCAGCCTTGCCACCAAAATCATAAACCCAGACGCTAAGCCCGAATTCGTGGCCCACAATGCTCCGGAATCCCCATGCTTCCTCTTTGAAGGTGTCTTCCCGGGACCTGAGCCGGCAAAACAGCACAGCACGGGGCACATGCTGTGCTTTTGGAAACTGTTCCATGCACTGCCAGGTATGAGCCGCCTCCTAAGGGGCCACGAGAGCTTCGCTTCGCTATGTCTCGCCACAGTCTGCACCCCGGCCTCTCCCATTTTGGCCTGATGCCCTCACTGAGTCTGAGCCCTGAACATAGGAGGGTGCCCTTTTGGGTTTTAAAGGGGGCTATAAGAGAACCCAAGCCCCCCGAAGAAAAAGTGAATAAGGGCCTACTCGGGGTAAGAATCGTCTAACTCAGGCTGCAACTCCATGCGCTCCGTGAGCCTTCGCTGGAGCCGGTCGTCGATCTGAAACCTTAGAAATCTCTTTTTCGTGTGCCCCTCTGTTCTGGGTTTTCAAGAGACGGTAAGAAACCCACATCTTGGGCCTTGGAGTTATGTGGCTTCCGCGCTTCGGATGCCTTGGTCCGACCTTCTTTCGGGCACACCTTCAGCTTTTTTCTACACATTGTCCCGAGACAAGGTCTACTCGAGTGGTATGAGGCTGCTGAAAAAGCTGAGGCAGGTTCCTGGATCATCTTGCGTCTTAAGCAGGCTCGTGGTTCGCAAGTGAACCACAAGGCGATTCTAAACACCTTGATCTACTTGACGTCTTGATGCTCAGCGACCTCTATGCCGAGGTTCTCGCCTATCGCAGAGGTCTTGGATGTCCTCCAGCATCCAGCCTCCGGAGCTTAGGGTTTAGGGTTTACTGTTTCGGGTTAGGCTTTAGGGGGTGTGCCTTCGGTCAGCAGCAGCAATGTTCATTCGTAAACTTCTTGGCTCCGCAGAGGGGCGCTGAGTTGAATGTATGTGCCTCACCAGTTTGGTGCCAGGCACCTACCACCTAAGAAAAGCAAGAACCGATGGAAAAACTAGACAGCCAACATTCGCCTTCTCGCTATAGCGACGCATGAAGAGACGCATATACACTGAGGGGGCCTCACTTCAAGCGCATGTCCCTCGGTAGTTGTGACTAGGAAGCAGCTCTTACAATGGACAAGTCTCACGTAGAAGGCCAGGGTGCACGCTTGCAAGACTGCAGGTGCGCAAGTACGCAAGCAAGCTCGTGCACAAGCTAAGACGCGCACACACAGAGTGTGCGCAGCCGCGCATACTATTGCAAACCCAAGGCAGCACAACAGCAAGCACCACCACAACAACCACAACCACAACACCAACTGCAACAACTGCAACTACAGCAACAGCAGCAACAACAGCAACGACATTAAAAACAGCAACACACCCCCCCCCCCCCCCCCCCCCCCCCCCCCCCCACCCCCCCCAAATCTCCAAATCCCGTTTGACATGTATGCTCTGTGACCCGTTGAGTGTTTCTGGCCAAGGTGTGAGTTGCCGCAAAAACGAGCTACTGCGATCCTGTTTGCCATGTATGCCCTATGGCCCGCTACGTCAACTCCAAGTACGGCCCCGGGCCATGCAACTCGCCACCCAGGCGGGATTTTGCAAACAAGTCCTTACTTCATGAGTCAGAAAAAATATGTTAATGAGCAAGTGACGGCGAAAAACTCTTCAACATTTGCAATTGTTGTTCGTGTTCATCCTGTTATCACGCTTTGTGCTTGTTTTGTTCTAACTATGCGCGCTTTCGTTGTTCGATTAGGAATTGGCGCCAGTTATTGTGACGACAATGAACTAACAAAGGCGTGATTTCAGTTAAAGGCCGCATAGCAACACAGCAACTTTAAAACGGTCTCGAATCTCCTAGCGCATGTGTCCTGTGCAAAACAACCCAAAGGTGCTTTTTGCTCAGGCAGTGCTACGCAAATGAACCTCCCAGCAGAAAAAGCCCGGTGCCTGCAAGCGAGCTGCCACCGCGACCGCCTCGCAGAGGCTCCAAGAGGGCTCAGGACTTTGGCACAGCTTTGAAATTAGGCCTCTTATACTAACAGTCCTGAAAAGGGATCACAATAGGGTGTAGGGTACTATCATCCTTATTAAGGACTGTAAGTATGAGGGGTAACTTCAAGGCTTATTGGCAAAAATGCTGGGTTTCGGGTTTCTTTGGACCCTCGCTCCATTCCTCATACCCCAAGCAGGCTCAGCCTCCTTTCGGCCCGTCTTTGCCGAAGTCGCCTTTGCCGAAGTCGCCTTTGCCTCCATTTCATCGCTTGCGCGGTGGTCGGAATTATGCTGGAGTGTTTGATGGCAAGTACTCATACGTCATCAAAACCCACCAGCCCCTGCCTCAGCCCCGCCCCCAGACATCCCTGCAAATCGAGGTCGAACAGGGCCCGTTGGCCTCCTTTCGGCCCATCACCTCTGCCTAACGTGAGTTGCGGTTCCAAAGCTTCTGTGGGTTGAGGACTACTTGGACTACTTTAGAAACTAGGGGTGCCCGGGTTGCCTTCAAAGGTTCTCATTAGAAGGTTGGTGGAGCAGTGGGTTTCATGTACGCCCAATGGGAGCCGGATGCAGCTGAGAAGTTTAGGATTGGAGAATGGGACCGGGAGGGGTTTGCCCAAACAGCAAGCTAATCTTCGGCTGCGTGGGCATTCCGCTTCCATTTGAAGGCTTTGGGGGCTTGGGGGCAAGTGGCCTCGAAGGCTTCAGGCTCTGTCTGCGATCGGGCACATGTGGGACACACCCACTCACACCCTAATCTCAGGGGCCTAGAGCTCCTCGACATATTCATATTCGAAGCCGCTGGGAGCAGAAGCCAAAACATGGAAGAACCCTGCTGCAGGCAGCAAGAACAAGCCTGCGGAAGCCTGCGATGCCTAATGAATATACACGCGTAAGAGTTCTGTCAGGAATGCAGATGCCGGTCTCTTGCAGATGCGTACCAAGAAGAGAGCTACTCCGGCGCTTGGGGCCAGTCGGTCGGTGTGAGCGAGTTTTGTCATCCTCACCCTTCTTCCGCGTGAGTTCCAAACTTCCCAACGATCTCTTCTGGTGCCCAGACATGCCCCAGACTGTTGTGAAAAACCCCCAAAGGGCCCGAACACCCTGAGACACTTTCCGGTACGCACCCTCAGGGGGGGCCTCCAAAGTCTCCCTTGCCAAAGTCGCTCTTGCCTTCCATCGGGGGTGCTTTCGAAAAGCTGAAAAATGCCCAGAGCAGACTTTGATTTGCAGAAGCCTTCTAGCTTTGAGCCGCTGTGATTGAGTGGGCGGAGTCGAGGGGCTGTCTACTCTTTTTCTAGAAGCAATTTTGGGCTACAAACCCCGTAGATCTACAGCTTTGCAACCGTTCGAGCAGGGTGACCCGGAAGCCGGGAGCTGCCGGAAGCCCATCCCCAAGTGCCCGAGAAACTGCCCAACCCTAAACCCTAAACCCTAAACCCTAAACCCTAACCCTAAACCCTGACAACTGCCCCGAGAGTGCTCCCCAAAGTTCAGCCAAAGGCACCTTTGAAGCTCTTCCCGCCGCTCTTCCTGGCCCAGGGTGCTTCGCGCGGGGGGACAGAAGTGCAGCGCAAAGTGCCACAACTCCAAGCTGCTACGGTCTTTTTGTGATTTTTTTTTTGGCGCCCCTGCGTCGGAAGCCCCGAAAGGGCCCGGAAGCCTTCGACA